AAAAAAAAACTTTACATTAGATCTAGAATTTACCATTTAATTAAAAGCCGCAACAAATTGTTGAAGAACAATAATTATAAAAGAAAAATATTTTTAGAATACGTAGTTGGTAGAAAAATATTATATAAAATATAAATATTATCTTAAGTATCTATTAAAAAGGTGATAAACGTTTTGTTTATTTAATTTTACCTGTGCCAACCCTACCAAAATAGGTAAACATTTTGACAGCTCCTTAGAACCTTTGCCTTTGTACAGTTTCTTTACTCAAGTGCCCTTACGGCGTGTTTATCATGTACTTTGAACGCTTTGCCTGCTGAAATGAGGCCTTACACTTATGGCGTGTTTATGGTAACGCAATAGTCTAGCCTTAGAGTTGTTTTCTTAGATTTTCTGTATAAAAGTAAACCTAAATGTGGTGATAATTTCTTTTTTCTGTCGATTGCCTGAGTCTACTAAAAATTACTGAAGCTTTAGGTTTGGCATTACATCGATAACCTTTTTTTGTTATTGTATCTCCTGGCTTATAAAGGTATCAATCAACTTAGCTATTTGAAGGAAGTTTTTTTTTATAGTATAGGGTGACAAACGAGCAAAGTCCACCTGATGGTAAGTGGTTACTGTGACCCATAGACATCTACATCTATCCTCAATAAAAACTCAAAATGCAGATGCGTTGTCAGCCGTGAGGACTAAGATGGAATGCGTGTTGTCCAGTAAAAAGGGTCTCCGGTTCTCTACACTCACCATACGAAACACAGCAGCGTTAAGCTGCTATTTTACGCTGGTATTCTGTGAGAGCGTGGCCCTTCCCCGGTCGAGCCGACCCATTCGTGCTACAACTATACTACTAATATTTCTGCAGCATGGCTCTACCACGTATACGTATCAGTAATCTTTTGTTTTATTGAGTTATTTGTCTTTTTCCCAAAAGTCCGTCAGTCGGTTAAAGGCCAGGTTACGAGTACGATAACATGGTTATAGTGAACATATAAATTAATATTGGAACCAAGTTTCGTTATGAATATTAAGACGGCTCTAACTATGTGTTTAATAATCTGAGTAGGTCGTTAAAAATGTGCCTCTGACGCGTGAGTATATTTGTTCCTATGACAAATTAATAACTGAATAGTTAATGATGAATCTAAATTTAAAGCGTCCTTTGGAATCTGTCACTTCACATTCTAGTAGGCCTATTCGCTTACTTTGTTGACATACAAATTATTGTCACTTGGTAGTACAAATTTTATACTTGGTAGAGTCACGCTGCAGCTATATTATGGTTGTAGCACGAATGGGTCAACTCGACCGGGGTGCTCCTACCACGCTCTCAAATAACAGCAGCGTGAAATAGCAGCTTAATGTCCTTAGTCCTCAGGGGTGACGACGCATCTACATAAGATAAATGTAGATGTATATGGGTCACAGCATCTACTTACTATCAAGTGGACTGTGTTCCCGTTTGCCACCTTTATTCCATTAAAAAAAAAAAACTTTTCCTTATATTAAAAGTATATGATTTAGGAAATTCAATGACCTAAATTTGCCACAATGAACCGTGAATGAACATTTAAAAATAAATTTTCTATTTCGAATTTGATACCGAAGGGTCATCCGATATGATAGCACATTAATAATAAAAGAAAAAAAAACGCTTGTCATCATCATGCTTGTGATTGCTCAGAATGATTTCTTTGGTATGATTGTGTAATAGGTAGTAGCAATTCGCTCTAGTGTGTGAATCACCGTGTGTAATACATTCGTAATTTCGCGTTTTTGTTGCGTTAATATTTCGTACAAAAATATTTACACAGACAAGAGCTCCCGATAATAATTATTGTAAGTCTTTGGTTAAATTCATTATGAAAGACAAACATAGGTCACAGGTTAATATTTGTTAGGTTAATAAAGTCATATTATTTATTTTAAGACCACAGATTGGTTTATCTACTTTTTTAAATTTCATTTTATAATCTCGACTCAACATTAACTTTGTATTAGATGAATTTAAATAAACAATATTTGGAATTATTGCGACATATGCTTGGTGCGACAACAATAAAAATGCGTAAAGTGGAAAACATTCCTTGATACGAACGTTCGTATATAACATATTATGCAAATTAAGTTGCTCTTTTTTTAAACAATATTTTCTTAATTGTTGCCTCGACGGTTTGCTTGGAATGTCTAATGATAAACATGATTTCGGACGTCTAAATATGTACCTAATTGTGTCTAAAAATCTACCGATTACTATCACAAGCTATAGTCTGCCGCAGGATTTGCGAACGAATGTTCCTTTTCCCACACGCTTGAATGATATGATCTATGCTATGTCAGCATGTAGTGTAATGGATTCTGGGTTGAAACAACATAAAAACTATTATAAATACATTTATTCATAAAGATACATAAAAATTCACGCCTGTCACCCAGAGGGGGGGGGGGGGGGGTAGGCAGAGACTACGGACTTCCATTTGGCACGATCCTGACACACCTCTCTCGCCTTCTCCACATCCATATACCTACGCATACACGCTCGTCGGTTAAGGGTACTTTTAATTTGGAAAATCTAAATAATCTCGAAATCGATTACCTAAATATCCACGCACGATTTTACTACGAATTTACAAGTAGGCATAGCTCGATCAGTTATTATTTTATGTGAGATCTCTCGTTTTTTTTGTTGACATTCGATGGACGAAAAAATGAAAAAAAAAAACCGCTTGTGAATCTGATGCCTAATCCTTGAGATCATTTTTTTTTAAATAAAAATTAATTTTACGGATTTTATCGCGTATATTAACTTATTTTATATTCCCGACGTTTCGAGCACTTTCACATACACCTCAGTCCTCCCCGTGACCATGGGTGCTGGAAAGTGCTCGAAACGTCGGCAATATAAAATAAGTTAATATACGCGATAAAATCCGTAAAATCAGTTTTATTTAAATGTGTAGTGTTCGCGTAAATATAAGAAATCATAATTTTTTTTTATAAATAAGTAATTGACCCCATTATCTGATTATTTGCGTTTGTCTGACGAAATTTTTTGTAAGCAGAGGCGGATCAGCTATAGGTTAAGCTTTTGAATGATAAGATGAAAATTAACTTTTCGGCACTGTAGGCCAATTTTTAAGAGATAAGTTGTTTGTATTATATTTTCTTTTGTGTAAGACTGTTTGTTGCCAAAATAAATTAAAAAAAAAATGGAACTCCGAAGATCCGAATCTTGAGATTTGACACGATATCGTTGGGTAATAATGAAACCGATTACAAATCGATTTTTGATGAGCTGCTATTTCTAATTGAATCTAATTAAACGATTTTAATTACCTTCGTAATGTATTTAAGTTAATGTTAGAAAGTTGTCGTTATCACTGTATTATAATAATTGGATATCGTCGCGTTTGTGAAATTTTTCAGTCATTGATGCGTGTATGGTGTGACTAAACGCAGTACACGGGAAATTTAGTTTTTGTTTATATTTATTGTTTCTTATTGGACTACTAAAGGACATTCCGTACGAAGAAGACACGTAAGATTTTTTTTAAATTTATATATATTTATACTAGCTGTTCCCCGCGACTTCGCTCGCGTGTTAGGGTTTTTATGTTTTTGCGCGGAACCCTAATACTTTTTCTAAAATAAAAGTAGCCTAAGTTACTCCTTATGAAATCAGCTATCTGCCAATGAAAGTCCTGTCAAAAGTGGTCCAGCCGTTTCGGAGATTACCCGGAACAAACAGACAGACAGACAAATATTTTAAAAATTGTATTTTAGTTATAAGTACCGTATTTACTTTCATATGCATTTAGTAACAAACTTTAATTTTGAAACAGATAGCATTTTTGAAAATACCTACTCGCGATGCGTATCGGCACTTCACTATCCTCTTAACGCGTCTGTTCTCTACAACAAATGGTGTAAACATAGTCATTTTATAGACTCATATCTGAGCCATTTACTCAGTTCAACTGTCTCTAAACGAGATACCTCTTAGATTAGACGCTTCTTGTGTCTACACACGTAGCATCCCATACAAGGGCTTTGCCTCTCCTCTAAGGGACCAAAGTCATACCGTCGGGTCTGCTGTTATAGTCTTCTGTTATATACCATTCCATGTGGATGTAGATTTTTTAACTTATTAAGTATAAGCTTGACTTAAGTGATGACGAAGCCTCATAGATGGTTAATTGGACTGTCTTAGCGTATAACAAAAGCCTATTCACACTTGGCTGAAGATACTTAGATTATAATCGAATGGTAAAACCGACGCCGGCAGATTCTTGCGCTCTTGTTGTACGTATTACTAAAGGCGATTCAAACCGTTTGGTTGGAATGCGAGGTATGTCGACAACAATGAGAAGAGAACAATGGAGACTGGCTCAGCGTCTGATTGTCCGATGGTAGATGGGAGAAAGAGGAACGAAGTCATGCAATTCCTGCGCACACTCTGTAAAGTCCAATTCTCTACCGACTTAACCGTGTAGTGACGGTGTAAGAATATCCACTATCCCATATCGTCTGGAGAGTGTCATCAGAGAGAAAATGAAACAGGAGATGGGCAGCACCATCTTCCTGATAACAAATCAAAATAATAAAAACTGCGGTTGCCAATCCGCCAGCCAAGCGTGGCAACTATGTTAAAATTACCATTAGGCTATCAATGAGGAAGGCCCATGTTCAGCAGTGGGCTTTTATAGGCTGTAATATAATGGATGACTCTCTGAAATATATCCTGTAGAAAAGAGGGATGAATAGCTTTTGACCGCCCAGTTGTCCGATGTTGGAAAAATTTAGATTTAGATATATAATATGTCTAATCACACAAAAAATAATAGTGTGACATAACTTACAATTGATTTAAGGTCAAAGTCAAGGTCAAAACTTTTTTATTCAATTGAAGCTTGATTAAGGCTATTGTGGACGTCAAAACAATGTCCTTTACATTTGTACATTTTGTATTATTATTATTATTATTAATTTCGTTGTTACAGTACCAATCAAAATGGAGGCGTTATCAGATGTTCTGCAGCCGTACAAGGAGATAGTGGGGAGCGTGGCTGGGATCGTCACGGTCGCTCAGATGTTCTCTGGCTCCTTTATTTGTTACGATATCTACAAGCAGGGGAACACCAGGGGAATCGGCATAGCGCCCTTCCTCGGTGGTATTGTCATGTAAGTTTCTTTGAACACAGCAGAGTAAAACGTAAACCTATGTATGTACGTCCCACAGCTGGTCCGTTGCAGCCTATTAAAGTCCACTGCGGAACATAGGCCTCACCTATAAATTGCCTCATAGGGGGATACATGCCATAGTTGCCACAATTGGCAAGCGAGTTGGCAACTGTTAGTTTTTATTTATAGTCGTTATTAGGAAGACACTGCTGCCCATCTCCTGATTTGTTTCCCTCTGTCGCCTTTTATGACACCCACGGGATGATATGGGGTAGTGGATATTCTTACACCGCCACTACACGGTCCAGCTTCTTTTATTTCTAAGAGGATTATGGAGTAATAAGTCTGCCTCGCTGTTTCTATGCGAGTCGGCGGACTTCACAAGTACTCGAAACATTTTACTACCCAGACTTGCAGGTTTCTTCACAATTGTTTTCCTTTAAAGCACGTGCTATATTAACACTTAAATGGGCTAATAATCTTACGCTCACTAGATGGCGCTGCGTAGCACTAAGGTGAACTTATTTATTACGCATATGGTCACACAGTCTATACTAGGGATGTTACGGAAGTGGTTATATCGGAACCGAATTCGGAAGCGGAGTTTTTCAATTTTGTTTGTCGGAACCGGAACCGAAATCGGAACCGGTATCGGGGTAGAGGCAGAAGAGATGTGTTAAGGGCAGATCTATTGCACTGTATTTTTCTTTTCAGATTCAAATTTTTTGAGTTCTTCGAATTAAGTGGCATGCATACAGACTTTAAATAACTCTTTAACGAAGTATTCGTACCTCCCTTTCGTTAATATATCTTCTAACATAGTTTACACTTTGCCGTATTCTCAGAAACTTCATAGAAATAATTCCAAATAGCACTTGATTTATAATAATAATAATAATAATATTCCACAACTATCACACAACGCCATCTAGTCCCAAGCTAAGCAGAGCTTGTGTTATGGGTACTAGACAACTGATAAACATACTTATATATTTCTAAATACATAAATATTATAGATAAATTACACCCAGACACAGAACAAATGATCGTGCTCATCACACAAACATTTGTCCTGGGTGGGAATCGAACCCACGACCTCCGGCGTAGCAGTCAGGGTCACTAACCACTAGACCAACAGGCCACATTTGATTTTGGCTTTCATTGTCCAATTCAAATATATCTGTTACACATCAAATTAAATAGTACCAAAACTAATCAAAAACTCGGATAAGTATAAATGAAGCGCGAACGCACAACATGCCAATTGCCAAATACGAAATAAAACATCAAGTTAAAGAGTAATCGACAGAAGGCACGGGGACATCCCGGGGCGACAAGTATAAAATTGTTTATACAGACTGATCGCGGCCGCCGCCACCACTGTGCATCGACCTCCGCTATATAACTTCCTATTAAAATTTAACGGAAACGAAATCGGAATCGAAAGTGCGAAATGAATCGGAAATTCCGAACAATCGGAATCGAACCTCCGTAACATCTCTGGTCTATACACACACACACACACACACACACACACGCATATATATATATATATATATATATATATATATATACATATATATATATATATATGTGTGTACATATTATAACGCCATAATGCTGTATTCTTTAATTTTTTACACATTTTCAACCTTTTTTAATTTCTACTTTTACGAATACCCGTAGTTTGTTTTACCCATTTTGAATGTAATTAATATAAAATATAACCAGTATTTCAGAAAGAAACATTAATAGCTACACTTTTCTAACAAATTTACTTCCCTGCTATGAAATCTGTCAAATATTACACTTCCTTACTAAGTGGCGTCGCCCTGGTCACAAAAAAAGTCGTGGATGCCCTTATTGTATTAGTGCCGGCTGGAGACCTGCTTTTTTTTTATAGAAGAGACGGCAAACGAGCATGCAGCTCACCTGATAAGTGGCTACCGCCGCCCATGAACAACTGCAACAATAGAGAAAGCGCTGGTGCGCTGGTTCCAAAAAGGAGAAGTCTGTTTTCTTAAAGGTCGTATCGTTGCTGGAAAGTCGTCCGATGAAGTTATCAGTTTCGTGTATTTGATTCAGGGTGTTATCGTAATATTATATACCTTATTTTTTTTTAAATATAAGAAGTTAGTGCTTGAATACAATCTCACATGAATGTAAGTGGCGATATAGCCGGAGATAGCAAAGAGCACTGATTTGTGCCTAACAAAAGTCTTTTCACTCTTGTATTGAAGACACCTACATAGTGATCTGATGGAAATACAGATTCTGGCCAATTACTTCCTCAAATGTTGTACGAAATAGTAACTGTCAACAGATAGATTACTAGATTAATATTGGTATCTCGGCATACATTGCAATTATTCGGACAATTTATTTCCGTTTAAATATTAATTGTATGCCAATTAATGGTGTGGCATACAATACGCAATTGTTAACATCTTTAATGTATTATTGATGATCAATAAATAAACGTATAATTATTATCGCGTGATGGATTCTCTTTATACTGTTACCACACAGACATATGGGCTGTTATTTTTTGTCAGCCCGTCGAAGTCCACTGTAGAATATGGGCGTTCACGTTGGAAGGAGACTTTGCCTTAATCACGCTTGTCAGTCGGGTTGACCGTAGACGGTCGCAGTTTCAGACGTCTTCCGCATTTGACGGCGGCGACCCTATGCCGGTTTTGATACTCGTACTATTGTCTATTCTGTGGTTTTGACTGAGCAATTTTCGTCCACCGGAACGGTACAACTGCCACCCATCGGAAGCCATAAGAGTTTTCCAGCGTTTCCTATATATAGTCACGCCGACGAAACTCACTCATGAGTTACCTCGTTTGAGGCATTCGTGACGGCAAATTGAAACAGTTATTCGAATATTAACATTGAACCACCTCACTCACTCGTTCAGTACCTCACTTAATATTAGTCTGTGCTTATGACTGACAATACAAATCATGTCGCGAGTGAGCGAGCGAACGACTCATTTAAAAATACTTCAAGTAGGTATCGAAATTATGTATTTGGCATTGGCATCAATATTTAAATGAGTGAGGTGTCGATATTGAGGAAAGAGATTAATAAACAACAAAAATAATTTTTGAATAATGGAATTTAAAACAATCAAATTACCGTTCAAACCAAGATATATCGAAACTCTCAGAATAATTAACATAGTTAAGTTTTTTTCTTGTTATATTAGTATACAAAACGTTTTTTTTTCTCTCTCATTGTAATATGAACTTAGATATACCTAAGCCTAACGAATATCATAATTGTTTAAATATCAACTATTTTGTAAAACAAATATCTACCAACATTCATCTACTATGTATGCATGTCAATATTAGATCACTGATAAAAAACTTCTCGAAGTACATTATCAACACAAGTACCGACCCAATAGATATGATTGCAATTTCAGAGGCTGGCATTTTCGACATTATTTGTAATTTGTTTTATATTCCTGGTTATGTAATGCATACACAGCTGAGAACGAATAAAAGGGGAGGTGGAGATGTTTTATTTGTTAAAAAATACCTAAAATTTACCATTCATAACACTAAAACATTTACTTTTGAAAGCATTACTGGAACAATTAAAACGGCTTCGAACCTCTCTGTTGACGTGTGCTTAGTTTATAGACCACCTTCTAGTAGTAAAAGTTATTTTATCACTGAGCCAAACGAAATGCTAAAACCTTATTTTTTATCTGGGAATGCAATCATACTTGGGTATATGAATATCGACTTAAAAACTGTAAATAGCAGCCGAGATGGTTACATAGATATGCTATCCGAGCACGGCTACAGCTGTGGTATTACAGATTATACCCGAATTGAGCGAAAATTAGACCAAATTAATATGTTGTGTATAGATCACATATTTGTTAAATACCACCAAACCGAGCCGTGCACGGCCGCACTCGACACTGTAACTGTACTAGCCGACCACAGAGTCACAATTATTGCATTATGTAATAGTCACTCGATGCGATCCGCACACATACATAATATTAGCGCTTGTTGGCCCGAACCGGTCGCCTCCACTCGTCGCACATACCATGATTCCGATATTGTTTATAATGAACTGAAAGATGTGGACTGGTCATGTACAGGTACGATGAAATGTCCACATGAGATTTAAAGTTATATAAAAGAAAAATTCACATTAGCACATAATAAAGCCATTAAATACTATAATAAAACCAAATTTACTAAATCAAATATGCCTTGGATAAAGAAAAATATAAATAATTTAAGTCGTAAAAGAGATATAGCTTTTCGCCAATGGAGAAGAGATCCTAATAACAATATTTTGTCTAGAAATTATAAAACAATACGTAATAAATTAAATAAAGTTATTGAGTATTATAGAAATACTTATTTGAGGAAATTAATTAATGAAAATTATAGAAATCCTAGGAAACTTTGGCAAATTATTAATGCATTATATGGTAGAAGTAGTCCATCAATAGACGGATTGATATTATCTGGTTTTTCAGAACAAAAATTGTCTCCACAGGCTATTGCTTATAAGTTTTCGAGTGAGTTTAAAGATGCCGTTAAGAAAATAATCCCTAGTTGGCATACAAATTTATTAAAATGTAGTTCATATACAAAGCTTGCCCAAGTTAGTATGCGCTTCAAAAAAGCCACCTCTAATAACATTTTTCATTTAATTAAGAACCCTAATGCAAGGAAAGCTCCAGGTTTAGACGGGATTAATGTATTAGATATCAAAAAGATAGGTGACAAATTATGCACTGCCATCGCTAACCTTATAAACGCAAGCTTTTTAGTTAGTAGATACCCGGAAGGATTAAAGACTGGTTGTGTGCGACCTATCTTTAAAATGGGTTCTAAAGGAGTTGTAGCAAATTACCGGCCCATAACTTTGTTACCCGCTATCGACAAAATAGTGGAGAAATATATTTGTGAACAGATGCATAACTTTTATAAGCTAAATAATATACTTAGTACGAACTAATATGGGTTCCATGCCGGTAATAGCACTACAACGTTGCTGCGAACATTTACGGATGAGATCAATAGTTATTTAAACGAAAAAGTTCACGTCTTAGTAGTATTTATTGATTTCTCCAGCGCTTTTGATACGCTTGATCACAAAAAAATAACAACTAAGCTAGAAAATACTGGAATCCGAGGTGTAATACTAAACTGGTGCCAATACTATCTGAAAGACAGAACTTATAGAGTAAAAATAGATGAATGCCTAACTAAGCCCGTATCGGTCTCGACGGGTATGGCCCAGGGGTCGGTGATCGGTCCACTGCACTTTCTGGCTTTATGTTAACGACATGACTAATGTACTTAAATACTGTACATCTTATCAATTCGCAAATAACACGTGTATCATATCTGCTGCAAAAGATCCACAAGTGGCATTAAATAATTTGCAATACGACTTCAACAACTTAAATAAATGGTGTCATGACTCAGGCCTAGTGTTGAATGCAGCTAGAACTAAGATGCTATATAACATAAGATCTCCTTATATTAGAGAGAAAAGTACATCGAACAATCTTATAGCTCATGATCACAGTTGCCTTCATAATTCGAATTACATTCACTGTAAGTGTCCACCTGATCACAGTCCACCAATTAAAATAGTAGATTCTCACGTGTACCTTGGATTAGTAATTGATAGTGCATTTAACTGGGCCCCCCAAGTTGAGCTAGTATGTGACAAATTACGAGCGTTCCTCGCTAACTTAAGAATCATAAAAAAACAAATGACTTTTAGGACACATCATCATCATTCATCATCATTACAGCCCTTCACAAGTCCACTGCCGAACATAGGCCTCCCCCAAAGAATGCCACAAAGCACGGTCCTGAGCCACCTGCATCCATCGACTTCCTGCATATCTTACCAGGTCGTCACTCCATCTAGTGGGGGGACGCCCTACACTTCGCCTGCCGGTACGAGGCTGCCACTCGAGAACCTTTGTTCCCCATCGGTTGTCGGTTCTTCGAGCTATATGGCCGGCCCATTGCCACTTCAGCTTACTAATCCGTTGGGCTATGTCGATCACTCTGGTTCTACTGCGGATATCCTCATTTCTGAGTTTATCACGCAGAGAAACTCCGAGCATAGCCCTCTCCATAGCTCGCTGAGCGACCTTGAGCTTCCTCATCCGGCCAGCAGTGAAGGACCACGTCTCAGTTCCGTATGTCTTGACGACTTTAGGACACGATTAGCTTTATATAACGCGTTTGCTAACTGTATAGTCAACTATGGCCTATCCAGTTATGGGCGAACTTTCAAGTCATATCTGGATAGGATATATAATCTACAAATAAGAATATTAAAACAAGTGGTCTCACCTAACGTAAATAAACAATTTTCGTCAAATGAAATAAAATTATTTAAATATTGCAACGTACTACCCGTGCACGACCAGTTCATACTCCAACTTCTTAAGGAAGAGTTTTTTAATAATTCCATTAAAATAAAAGTGGAACATAATAATAAGGGTACTCGGGCGATCACTCGCGGCAAGTTAGTCACGACAGCCGCGCGGAACACTTACGGCAGACGCACTGCTGTATACTTGATTCCTAGAATCATAAATAAATTGGATCCTGAGTTTAGGAAATCTATTAATGAAAAAAATTTAAAAAACATACTAAAGATCTTTCTAGTGAGTTCTTTGGACAGCAAAGATCGAATAGTTACATGAATAAGTATAGTAACTTTGTTTCTTCTTTTTTTTAAGCATAGCGAACGTAAGCACAGCAACTAAACCTCAGTGGTTTGAGCGGTGTTCAATATGTATTAATAATTGTACAATTTTATGGGTAATAAATGAAAAAAAAAACATATTTGCGTGTGAAAATAAAATCATGCGCACTTTTTTAATCACCCAATTTTGCTTTCACTGAGCAAAATCAGTGATCTCAAATTTTATTTGCCTCCACTGATATCGAATATTGTAACATAATAATATTATCAATATAATGACTTGGGTAAGAACATGGTACTCCCCCTCATTCTCAAATAAAATGGATGAGTAATCCATGACTAAATTGGGGTGTTGAGCTGTCGGCAGCTAAATAAGTTAGTGTTCATAAACTATGTGGTTATTTGGCCGTAGTAGGTAAAAAAATATCTCCCGCTGGGCAAGGCAGTAGTATCACTTCGGGACTTTTGATAGCGTGATTTAGGCTTCGGTGAGTTTCGCTTGCGGTGCGCCACAGTTACTTTCGCCGTTATATCATATAATCTCAGTTTTAACCTGTAGCCTTTCTAAGTAAACATAGGTAATTCCAAGAATATGTTACCTACTCGTAGTTACCAATTTGAAAGTTTCGCTCGTACACAATATACTTAACAAACGGATTTGAGAGCGCACAGCATAGAGTAATGCATATAAACTAAGAAACAGTATATTCAAGTCTGCATTATAGCCTAACCTTTATATTTCTTTGTAACATCAAAAATTTGTTTTACAATTACCTGATTTGATTTGAGAATTATAAATGGTTGCAATAAGGTCGGTCGGCAGGTAAGTTCCTACGGTTCTCTACACTCACCATACAAAACACAGCAGCAGTAAGCTGCTATTTTACGCTGGTATTCTGTAACAGCGTGGTCCTATTCCGGTCGAGCTGACCCATTCGTGCTACAAGCATGATATAGCAGTAGCGTCGCTCTACCAGGTACAAGCGTTTGACGTAAGAATGAGCAGCAACTTTGTAATTATTCTAATTAACGGATAATATGTTGCTTAGTCACTGAGAATAATAATGAATTATCTCTATGGAGAGTTTGGCACCATTCAAATCGTTAATTGTACTTTAATAGCTGTTTTACAACTTTTTTAAGAAACCCGCATGTTTGTGGAATTGTAAATATTTAGACGGCATTATTTCACGAACGCACATCGCGGATACTATCCACACCATCTGGATGATTGGAAAAAAACATCTCCTAAATCGCACAGTGGTGGACACTGTGCGATTTAGGAGATGTTTTTTTTCTTCGCACAACTTTCTTGTGGAATCGATTACCACCAGCGATTTTTCCGGACCGATACTACTCAGGGACCTTCAAGAAAAGAGGCTACTCCTTTTTAAAAGGCCGGCACCGCCGATACCATCCACACCATCTGGATGATTGGTGGTCCACCACTGTGCGATTTAGAAGATGTTTTCTTCCTCGCACAACTTCTTTGTGGAATCGATTACCACCAGTGATTTTTCCGGACCGATGCGACTTAGGAACCTTCAAGAAGAGAGCCTATTTTTTTTAAAAGGCCGGCAACGCATCTCCGATTTTCATGGTTCGCCTGGTGTTGCAGTTGTTCATGGGCGGTGATAGTCACTTACCATCAGGTGAGCCGCATGCTCGTTTGCCCCCACTACAATAAAAAAAAGTATACCATATAGTGGCGGCGTAATAAAATTCACTACCCCTACATATATCCTAGGTTAAGAATCAAAGTACAGATACGTTGTCTCCCCTGAGAACTAAGATGGAATGCCTCGTTGCCTGTAAAAAGGGTCTCCGGTTCTCTACACTCACTCATACGAAACAACAGCTTTAAGTTGCTAATTCACAATGATATTCTGTGATAGCGTGGTCCTTCCCCACATAGACAAGGATTGATGTAGATGTCTATAGACTGTGCGCTCGTTTGTCATCCCTATTCTATAAAAAATATGATCTCTTTTTCTGTGAGGCTGAGAAGTGTTAACTTTAGTGTTATCATAAACCCTTCTTTGTTAACAGGAGTTTGCTCAATTTAAAATACGGCTTCATCCTCCGCGATGATATGATGATCCAAGTTAACTTCGTCGGTTTGGGGATAAACTTGCTGTACGTTCTGATATACTTCAACTACACGACGGAGAAGGTGAAAGTGTGGGCGAAAATGGGTCTGGCGGGCGCCTTCACCGCCGCACTGCTGGGCTACGCCGAGATGGAGGACCCGAAGCTCATCGAGAACAGATTCGGCACCATAATAACCGCCTTCATGTTCTATTTGATAGCATCGCCGCTGTTTTCCTTGGTGAGTAGCAGTACATCTTCTTTACCTATAAACTTGTGTACGCATGTTTATCACTGAACTCCTACTAAACGGCTGGACAGATTTTGATGAAATTTTTTATGTGTGTTTGAGTAGTTTAGATTCGCGATTGAACCCGGTAGGTGTCGCTGATGTCGAGATCCCGAAATCAACCGTGCGAAGCCTAGTCTTCTATAATTATTTTTTTATATTTTTAGCTAGTCGTAATAGCTAAACGATTAAGTAAAACTCACAGTAAAATAGATAGTTGCAATTTTAAGTGCTGATTTACGTCGTGCGTCTTTCTGCACGTGTGAGAAATAATTTAAAATTAAAAATTTTGTACAGCCGACTTCAATATAAATTATTAAGAATAACTCAAAAACTATTGGTCTGACCTTGATCAAATTTATATGGGACCACACATGTGAATTACCAGCGACCACATGTGAAGATACAACTTTTAAATAAAAAAAAGAATCATCGAAATCGGTTCACCCAGTAAAAAGTTATGAGGTAACACACATAAAAAACATACAGTCGAATTGAGTACCGTCTCCTTTTTGAAGTCGGCAGATAAAATTATTGGAGGACATGTGGAGTCTGCCACTGAAGCTGCGCGGTGGTCTAACTAGTAGAGATCTGGGTCCAGACTTACGAGTATATAGACTGTAGCTTTACTGTTCACTTTTATATTTTTTGAGTGAACAGAATAAAAGGAACAAGCAATCCCAGTTGCAAACACAAGTTGGAATGGTGTTCGTAAGTGTCCATCAGTCCATAGACACCTGCAACCAACTTCAAAGAAAGGTAGAGAGAGGCATTAGATACGTAGTCACTCCTAAGAACCAAGATAAAATCTCAACTGAATTAAGTCGTTGATTGTATTTCTATACCCGATAAAAGATTAAAGACATTAATGTAATTTGTTCTAGTTTATTTAAATACCATTTTTTTTACCAACGTTAGGATTAGGATAGGACCCCACACTAGGATTTCCTCTTGTATCGTGGAAGCAATTTCCAAACATAAATTCCACATGGACAAATATCCAGACCCGGAACAATTATTTGTAGGCCATACAAATACTTGTTCCGTGTGTAATTCGAAGCCGCGGTCTTGCAGCGTCGCAATCAAATGCCACGTTTGCGTGATAGATTGACTCAATCTCGGAATGGGATTTGTCCAACTGGACTTAAAAAAGAAACTTTTTATAAACAATGAACTGTCAAATCTTGTAGACCGATCCTTAGGACCTTTAAACCTTTAAAGCGAAACAACAGCGCGCACTACTTCTTGGCGATAAAAATAGGTACCCAATAAGGTGGTAAACTATTCAGATGAATTCTTAAGTAGAAAATGAACCTTATCACCTATAGAAGAAGGCTGTGTTTTAATGAAAAAAAAAAACAAAATAATTACTCACGCGGAAGTAAATTATTATCTTACTTATATTTTATCGCATTGTCTTGTTATTTTATCACTATGGTAACTTGCTGAGGCCTTGGTTTGCGGCCGATTGATTGTCTGAGTCAGTGGTCAATGTTATTTTCAATAGAGCAATAAAACGCGTAATCACTGAACATAAATCAAACATGGAAGCATTCCTAGCTCCAAAAAATGACTCGATGCAAATTGAGCAGCTGTAGGCGTGGTTTACCAATTGCGATGCGACCGAGCTTAGTAGGAATAACTACACTAGCATAATACTGATCAATTATATTTAGTATTGTACGTCATCGTTGGAGCCACACGCAAGTGTGAGTAACGATCCAAGAGCGAGTCTCATCCGACACTATTCCGAAGATATCCCGGACGTCAGTCTGAGCGAGATTAGAATGGCTCTCCAGCACCTTAAAAACGGTAAGGCCCCAGGCGAGGATGGAATTACAGCGGAGCTTCTGAAAGCGGGTGGAAGACCGGTACTTGAAGTCCTTCAGAAGCTCTTTAATTCCGTCCTCCATGGTGGCATTACACCGGAGGCGTGGAGCAGAAGTGCGGTGGTCTTGTTCTTCAAGAAAGGTGACAACGCTCTCTTGAAGAACTACAGACCGATTTCCCTTCTGAGCCGCGTCTACGTGCTGTTTTCGAGAGTCATTACGAATCGTCTCGCGCGCAGACTTGACGACTTCCAGCCTCCCGAACAAGCCGGTTTCCGAAAGGGCTTTAGCACCATAGACCACATACATACCCTTCGGCAAATTGTACAGAAGTCCGAAGAGTACAATTTGCCACTATGTCTGGCGTATGTGGACTATGAGAAAGCCTTTGATTCCGTCGAAATTTGGGCGGTGCTGCAGTCCCTTCAGCGGTGCCAAGTTGACTGTCGGTATATCGAAGTGTTGAAGTGCTTGTACAGTAGGGCTACGATGGCTATCCGAGTACAGAACCAGAGTACGAAACCTATCCAATAGCAGAGAGGTGTAAGACAGGGTGACGTCATATCCCCGAAACTCTTCACCGCTGCATTGGAAGACGTTTTCAAGCTTCTGGACTGGAAAGGATACGGTATCAACATCAATGGCGAGTACATCACTCACCTTCGATTTGCCGACGATATAGTCCTTATGGCAGAATCGCTGGAGGACCTAAGCACTATGCTCAATGACCTCGATAGTGTTTCCCAACGGATAGGTCTTAAGATGAACATGGACAAAACAAAGATCATGTTCAATGTCCATGTCACACCTATGCCGGTAGTTGTTGGGAGCACTAAGCTCGAAGTTGTTGACGAGTATGTTTACCTGGGACAAATAGTCCGACTAGGTAAGTCCAACTTCGACCGAGAGGTCAATCGACGGATTCAACTCGGCTGGGCAGCGTTCGGGAAGCTACGACACATCTTCTCGTCAGACATACCTCAAAACCTGAAAACGAAATTGTACAACCAGTGCGTGTTGCCAGTGATGACTTATGGAACTTAGACGTGGTCCTTCACTGCTGGCCGTATGAGGAAGCTCAAGGTCTCTCAGCGAGCTATGGAGAGGGCTATGCTCGGAGTTTCTTTGCGTGATAAACTTAGGAATGAGGATATCCGCAGTAGAACCAGAGTAACCGACATAGCCCAACGGATTAGTAAGCTGAAGTGGCAGTGGGCCGGCCATATAGCTCGAAGAACCGACTACCGATGGGGAAGAAAGGTTCTCGAGTGGCAGCCTCGTACCGGTAGGCGAAGTGTAGGGCGTCCCCCCACGAGATGGAGTGACGACCTGGTAAGACATGCAGGAAGTCGATGGATGCAGGTGGCTCAGGACCGTGCTTTGTGGCATTCTTTGGGGGAGGCCTATGTTCAGCAGTGGACTTGTGAAGGGCTGTAATGATGATAATGATTGTACCTTAATACGTAAAACGTTCGTGGCGACGAATACGAGCACAATGGCGTCAAGTAGCAGGAGGTCAAGCAGGCAATCTATGGGGAGGCCTATGTTTAGCAGTCGACTTTTTATAGAATATAAATGCGAACTAACAGTCCACCTCATGGTTACTGCAGTCCACGAACATCTGCAGCCAATTTTAAACAAAGACGGCCACAGATGCGTTGTCACCACTGAGGACTCTCTCATCATATCCTTCTGGCAAGACATGATATTAGTGCTACAACTGAGACGTTGATAAGGCCGATTATTCTTACGATCTAAAAGCGAGGACGTAAATTATGTTGACGACGGTAAGCAGTTTGACGACTCGGTAACGGTACGCTGTCTCTACATTCTGTACGAAAACAAATAATTGTTTTTATGGCTTACATATAATTCGTCGTTGACGCCGCAAAAAGGCGAACCTCAATTTCTCAAAAAATTACAGGAGAGCAAGAAAATATTTATTATTCCACGATTACTAGCTTTTTTCCATGTAAAACTCTACACACACGTAGAAATGTCTAGTGTGTAGTAATTTATATACACTTGGGGGGGGGGGGGGGGGGATGGGGGGTTGGTACACTTTTTAAACAAAAAAAACTTAATAAAAATTAAAATAATAATATGTTTTATTAAAAGTTGAGTTGTACTTAGTAATATCACAATTTAAATGTTGTCTTTATATTATATTATAAATATATTAAAAAACTTCATGCCCATATTGCCACCTTTTGGGGGTGGAATTTTTTCTCCAAATTTATATGGGACCACCTCTGAAGTAAACCTGCATATATAATTTAAAAAAAAATTATCGCAATCCGTTCACAATTGACGAAGATGTCGCGTAACATAGATACCAAAAAAAAACATAGTCATATAGTAAACATCTCCATGTTTTTAAGTCTGCTAAAACAAAAAGTGTCTGTCCAAATGTAGGCAAAATTATTTCTTATATTTACGCGAATACGTAAAACTAAATCTACGGATTTTATGGCGTTATATTTACTTTTTTATTTTCCGACGTTAAATCGATTCGTAGGCACTAAAATGATTCGTAGTTCAGCACAATATTAAATATATAGTAAGAGAACAAACTAAAACATCTAAAGATATTTTGTCGTTTAAACTGATAACAGAAGGCAGATGTGGTGCTCGTAAATACTGTTATCACCAACGCTTATTCAGGAGCTATTGTCTTTCCGTGCTCTATCTATTTACACAAACAAACGTAAAATATAATCAAATTTAGGACAACAATTCACAGGTTGTTGAGTATAGTTAACAATTTCACAGTTCCGTGAGTCATTTATTATAAACATTTCGATTCTTTCACTATTATCTTTTTCTAAACTTACTGATTTCGGCTGAATCAAGTAACGCAAAGTCGTTAAATTCGACTTCTCGAATAAAACTAATTTTACGGATTTTATCGCGTTTAATTTAACTTATTTTTCATTCCGGATGTTTTCATTTCCTTTTTTGCACCGTTTAGAAAAACACTCTAAGAAGAATAACCCTCTTTAAATTGAATGACAACATTTAAAAGAGGTCAGCAATTTCATTATCTGACTGATTAAACAATCGGGCAGCGACTTATCCACATATTGGGTGTGTTGATAACTGTAAATTATTGAGAGACACATATTATTATGTCTAGAAGAAAATTATATACGATGAAAATGTTTTTTTTTTTAATAGGATAAGGGTGAAAACGAGCACACAGTCCACCTGATGGTAAATGGTTGCTGCGGCCCATAGACATCTACATCTATCCTCTATTACAAATCAAAATGTAGATGCGTTGTCACCCGTGAGGACTAAAATGGAATGCCTCATTTCCAGTAAAAAGGGCCTCCGGCCACCTGCACTCACCAAGCGAAACGCAGAGGTAAACCTCTACTTCACGCTGGTATTCAGTGAGGTCGTGGTACCACCCCGGTTCGAGCCGGCCCATCCGTGCGAAAGCAAAAGCTGCCGCCTGGCTCTACCACTGTTAGAAATTTAGATTTGCGCAAGCGACGGACAGGATGCGGCGTATTTTTCAACCGACTTCAAAAGGAGGAGGTTTACAATTCGTCGGAATCTTTATGTGTGTTCAGTGTTCACCGATTACTCGAAGAAGCCTAAACCGATTTGGAAAATTCTTTATTTGTTTCATAGAAATCGGTCGAGCGGTTTAAAAAAAAAATCAACAGTCGGTTGTACAAATTTTTTAATTTTACCACATATTTATTACCTCGCTTTCGTGTATGTCTGTTCAAATCGTACTAAGTAATTGATTTTAAAATAACTTAAGGCTTGAAATTTTGAACATAGTTCAGAATCGGATGACAATGTAAGAATATTAAGAAACGTGGTATATTAATAATTAAAAATTTTGTACAGCCGACTTCAATATAAGTTATTAAGAATAACTCAAGAACTACTGGTCTGACCTTGATCAAATTCATATGGGATCACACGAGAAGTAACAGCTTTCAAATAAAAACAGAATCATCGAAATCGGTTCACCCAGTAAAAAGTTATGAGGTAATACACACATAAAAACTTTTTACTGGAAAAGAGGCATTCTATCTTAGTCCTCACGGCTGTCTACGCATTTGCATTTTAATTCGCAAACGAAGATATATGTAGATGTCTATGGGCCACAGCGACCACTTACCATCAGATGGACTGTGTGCTCGTTTGTCACCCATATTCTATTTAAAGAAAAAACAGTCGAATTGAGTACCTAGTAGAAGTCCCACCATCAGTATATATTTATAAATGGATATATTATTTTAAGGTTAAAATAAAAATGTTTGTGGTCATGGCCGGTGGGTATCTTCTATTTAACAATAAAACTCGAGAATCATCGAAATCGGTTCACCCAGTAAAAAGTTATGAGGTAACACAAAAAAAAAAACATACAGTCGAATTGAGTACCGTCTCCTTTTTGGAAATCGGCAGAAAAAAATATGTTTTCTAAAAATTTCACTTATTTTGAAAATGGAACATATCAAACGACACGATATAATGCATACGTGGTAGAGCCATGCTCGACCGGGTACGGACCACGCTCTCACAAAATACCAGCGTAAAATAGCAACTCAATGCTGCTGTTTCGTATGGCGTGTGCAGATAAATCGGAGACCCCTTTTACTGGAAACGAGGCATTCCATCTTAGTCCTCAGGGGTGGCAATGTATTTGCATTTGGATTCTTAATCGAGGATGGATGTAGTTGTCTATGGACCACAGCATACACTTACATCCAGGTGGACTGTGTGCTCGTTTGTCACTCTTACTCTATTCTATAAAGAAAATCTGTGCAGGCCCTTACGTATTCTTTTTCGAGTTTTATTGTTAAATAGAAGATACGAGCACACAGTCCATCTGATGGTAAGTGGTCGCTGTGGCCCATAGACATCTACATATATCTTCGTTTGCGAATTAAAATGCAAATGCGTAGACAGCCGTGAGGACTAAGATAGAATGCCTCTTTTCCAGTAAAAAGTTTTTATGTGTCTATTACCTCATAACTTTTTTCTGGGTGAACCGATTTCGATGATTCTTTTTTTATTTGAAAGCTGGTACTTCTCATGTCCTACATAAATTCATTCATCAATGTCTGACCAATAGTTACTGAGTTATTCTTAATAATTTATATTGAATTATTAACAGTGGTAGAGCCACGCGGCAGCTTTTGCTGTCACATGGATGGGCCGGTTCGAACCGGGTTGGCACCACGACCTCACAGAAAAACAGCGTGAAGTAGAGGTTTACCTCTGCGTTTCGCTTGGTGAGTGCAGGTGGCCGGAGGCCCTTTTTACTGGAAATGAGGCATTCCATCTTAGTCCTCACGGGTGACAACGCATCTACATTTTGATTTGTAATAGAGGATAGATGTAGATGTCTATGGGCCGCAGCAACCACTTACCATCAGGTGGACTGTGTGCTCGTTTGTCCCCTTATCCTATAAAAAAAATTGATATTGGTTGTACAAAATTTTATATTATCTGTCTAGAATTCCGTCTGGGATGGTTCTATCCTCTTGCCTATTTCTGCTGTCGAAAAGCAGTGTTTGCATTGCTGCGTTACGTTCTGTAGGGTACAGAGAGCCGGTAAAATAACAGGCTGTTAGGCATTCCACCTTAGATTTCAAAAGTGACAACGTATTTGTAGCCCTCTTTTGTTTGAAGTTAGCCGCCTTCAAGTGGACCAATAAGTTTGTCCTCGCTTCAGTTTTTAAAAATAAAAAAAAAATGTATATTAAAAATGATTCTATGTTCAGGGTTTTTGAATACGGTTTCACTAAGAAAATTCAGTAATAGAAATTCTGGAGACTTAAAAAAAAAAACGAAGCCCAAAGTTGTATTATATCTATGATGTAATATTTTGAGTGTGTAATGTTTATATAATATAAATATCCGTTTCTGTTTCAGGGCGAGATCATAAAGAACAAAAGCACGGAAGGGTTGCCCTTCCCCATCATCTTCTCTGGATCTATTGTCACCTTCATGTGGTTGCTGTACGGCATCATCCTGAAGAACAAGTTCCTAATTGTAAGTGTACAGTATTTTCACGTTATCAAGTATGACACCATTTGTGGTAGATGATGATGAGAGATGCTACAGCTATATTACTGATATAGTTGTAGCACGAATGGGTCGGCTCGACCGGGGAAGGACCACGCTCTCACAGAATACCAGCGTAAAATAGCAGCATAACGCTGCTGTGTTTAGTATGGTGAGTGTACCGGAGACCCTTTTTTACTGGAAACGAGGCATTCCATCTTAGTCCTCACGGGTGACATTTTGATTCGTAATTGAGAATAGATGTAGATGTCTATGGGCCACAGCAACTACTTACCATCAGGTGGACTGTGTGCTCGTTTGTCACCCTAATTCTTTAAAAAAAAATGATATAACTCCCATTCTACGTTTTATATGCATATAGATAAAATTGAACTGTCTGTAATATTCGAATAACTGGCTTCTATTAAGCTCAGGGGGTTATTTGCATGCTAGTTTAGTTTTTATTTTTTTGTTTGTTACAGACAGACAGTCTGTCTGTCCCAGCCAATCTTCGAAATGGTTAACATGATCGTAATGAAACTTTACGAACAGAAAGAGAGCAATGCCATCATCATCATCTGGCCTATATTTTATCTGAATCACTTGGATATTGATTTTTTTTAAATATAAATTGTCTTTGATTATTTTAAATTTAAATAACGTAATAGTAATATATTTCACCCAGGCAAAGCCGGGACGGGCTGCTAGTATGTGATTTAATTGCTTAAAATAGAAGTTCAATTAGATGGTACAAGAGATGCTGTGGCCCATAGACACCATTATCTTCGAATAAGAATCAAAATGCAGATATCTCATAAAAGCGCGCCAGTTTTACTAACACGTGTGTATAGAAGTGTGGATAGACACGCTTGCTTGTGTGCGTTACTGCAGGTAGCGTTAGCAAGCTCAACGTTATTGTACAATATAATATGTTACCTAAGTACATTTAGCTATGTAGTAATTTTTTTTGTTTACAATAAATGCAGTTTATTTACATTTAAATCACAATTAGATCTTGATAACTTGCCGTAAATTCGTATTTATTGTCTCATTGCGAACAATTTTTGCTCCGTTTACTTTTCATTCTGACGGTACTCGATGAAAATTTTTCAGTCTTGAGCGTATGCACACTAGAATAACGTGCATGTGTACACTCAAGACAAAGACTAAGCCCCACCGCGCACTAGGCAGCCTGGCTGCGGCAGCCAGGCGGCGGCAGCCAGTCGAACATACGACGGTCTATGGGAGCTCACGCACCAAGCAGCCACGAACTCCCGGCTGCGGCAGCCATAAGCCCCCCGCGCACTAGGCAGCCTGGCTGCGGCAGCCAGGCTGCGGCAGCCAGTCAAACATATGACGGTGTATGGGAGCCCGCGCACCAAGCAGCCACGAACTCCCGGCTGCGGCAGCCATAAAAGCGCGTCCGATTGCTCGGCAGCCCGTTGGCTGCGCGCAGCTAGAGCGAGCAGGGCAAATGTATGTGGCTGCCGTCAGTCACCGCGCACTTGTCGTAGCAACCAGGCGTATTTTGTGTTCAGAAATCACAAAATGGCTTTTGACATTGAGAAGTTTATTCGTGAAATTGAAAACCGTAAAGCAATATGCGATATGCTTTACGGTCTATGGGAGTATCAGTGCCCTTGCTTGAATTTCTTATATTTTCCAAAAGTTTATCAAATGATTGCACTGACATTGTCGTGCAGTTAAAAAACCGGTATGGGTATTCACGAACACCTTAAAAACAGGTATGAAATAAGCCTTTTGAGTGCCGTTCTAGAAAAAAAGGATGCATCGAATGTCTTTTAGCTTGGCGTTTTTTACGAAATACGCATAAAATTACAAATTCTTCTACGTCCATATCCCTCGAAGAAAGGGTCACAACTCGCCGTCCATTGGCTGTTTAGAAGTGGCTGCTCAAATATTTCGGCCGCCGCAGCCTGGCTGCGTAGCCAGGCTGCCTAGTGCGCGGGGGGCCTGACACGCCATCTTGAAATAAAACATATATACGAGTAGAAATCTTTTCATACGAAAGAGCACTTTGGAAATAGGCACTTAATTGTGCTTCAAAAATCGTCATCAACCTATTTATTACATATTATATATTATATATTACCCGATGGAACCACGCTACAGCACGGGGTCGTCTTGACCGGGGAACGATACGCACTTTTAACTAATAACGAGACATTCCATCTTAGTCATAAATGGTGATAATGCGTGTACATTTTGATTCTTAATCGAGGATAAATGAAAGTGCCTATAGGCCACAGCATTCACTTACTATGATGTGGACCGTGTACTTCTTACCCTTATCTTCTTATATTTTTATTAAAAAAAATTACCACCACACTAAGATTTTCTCCTGTACCGTGGAGGCAGTTTACAAACACATATTGCACAAGGACAAACATCCAGACCCGGAACAATTATTTGTAGGCCGTACAAATACGTGTTCCGTGCGGGATTCGAAGCCGCGGCCCCCCAGCACAGATACTCATTGCTAAGCCACTGCGCCACGGAGCCGTCATTATATAAAAAATATAGTTCCCCATAATAAACAAATCTCTAGGATATTGAAAAGAATAGGCATAGGATAAGTACCAATATTTCTGTTTCGCCGTTCGCATATTATCTAAAACGTGTCTAGAATAGTTCTTATCAAAGCGATAAGATAAATGGGTTTAGTGAGCAAGTAATATACTATTGGAATTATGTGGAGCAGCGAGAGAATCCATCGTCTTGTTTTTCTTTGGCTTATAAGAGCAGCGAAGACTAAACTAGAATCTTCTGCTAAAATATATTTGTTTATTTTTATTTATTTAGTCTGAGTAACATACATCTACATAATCAATGACAGGAAAGATGAGTGTTTGAACAAGCATAATATGCTTATTTTTGTATGGGAGAAAGTTTTTCAGACGGTACAGCGATCTTAAGGCAGCAGTGACTTTACGGTTGGCCTCAGTGGCTTGTTTTTTTAGAGTTCAATGTTTTATCCATGTATAGACGCATAATATTGCATAAATTCATGAGAATATATTTTAAAGTTTACAGTAAATATCGAAATAAGTTTTTCGATTTGCAATTCTAATAATCCTTCTTCTGCTAAATTTTCCCGCTTTTTATACAAAAGAGCGGGAAATCGTTTATAAACGACTATTTGTTTTAAGGCAAGACAAAAGACAAATGAGAATAGGCACTATCATATTCTTCCTACCAAAATAGCGAAGTGCTTGCCGAACAAAAACAAGTAAGCTGGTAACCAAGGTAGATAACATCCTTGCGTTCGCATTCCTCGGTATCACCGTTGTTGAAGACAACTGCAAACGGCACAAAATAAAATCTACGTAAATTGAGTGACGTCTATAAAATTTGCCGCTTACCGTTTGCCTCCTAATCCTAATATTGTCCCTAAACATTTTATTATGAAGGTCGTAGCATACCGCAACGTTTTTCTTACATTTTCATATACATATTTCGAATTGTTGGCTTGGCGCAACGGACCCTTTAGAAACACTTAGAGTGAGAATAATAACTTCGGTCGTTCGTTGTAGCGATATTTGAAACGAATCGCATTTAGAAGTTTTATTTTTCTTTTTGTTCATTTCCAGTGGATTAGCATATATGTTAAGATTATACAACCATACGTTTTTTTTTCCACAGATGCAAAACTTAGTGGCTCTGGTGCTCTGCGCAATTCAACTTTCACTATTCGTCATCTATCCATCGAAACCCGTTGGTAAAGCGAGAGCTAAGGCACAGGCTAAGGCGAAAGCAAAGAAAGCTGATTAGATGAAGTCATGAATTTACTTATTTTTAATGTTGCAACAAAACGGTGATATCAAATTAGAACAATGTTAATTTCAATTTGGAGGGAATAAGATAAAAGCTATGGCGGGATATTGTTCGCAAATGTATTATTAAATACGCTTGCGAACATACTACATATTATTTAAGCCCCTGTATTATCTATATATGATTATCGTGTATATGTTTATATAATAGTTTGAAATGGATTACATAAACGTGGTGCGATGTGCATTAAATGCATACGAATGTAAACTATCAGTGAAAAGGATAACACAAATTCTCCGATGGTCACATACCTTAAGTTTTTGTTTCCATTTTGCCACATTGTGACATCTTGCCTAATATCTTCATCTACAGTTTACTGTCATCTGTCTTCAAAATCTCCCAAAATCTTCCAAACTCTTTGCAATGTACGCCTCAATAAAAAAAAAAGTGAACAAAATACTTATCATACAAGACTTTACGGGCGCAGATATCTTTGCCTTTCAATCATTAAAAAATTGCATTTTTCTTCTCCTTTTATTCCGTTTAGTAATTGTGAAATTGACCCTATAAATTTGCATTTATACGCCTACTATTGTAGCATTATTCTTTACGTTTGTTGTATTCATATTTAGTATTTTTTAAATATTTTCATAGCGAATTTAATAAACGCAACAAAGTTGCAGAATAGTGTGATTAGCCCGTTGAGCGTAGTGTCAACGAAGATGTGTATTTTTATGCAAAGAAACTAAGAAAACCAATTAAATTAGATAGTCTATTTTTGATATCGATAGTCCATTGTTGGCGTGTTACGTGTTTATAATAATATGTGTTGCAAATAAAGAACAAACTTTGTATGAAGCTACCTATTTAATTTTATAATCTAAAATTAAATGTAAAGCCTTATATTTTAATTTCATATTATTTTGGTGAATTAGAAGACATCTTTAAGGCTATTGTCTTCCATTTTTATTGTATGTACTTGAATGTATTTATACATTATATAATATAACTGTTTAATACCTCGACATTTCAAATACCATTCCATTAAATCTTGGTTAATTGTTTTTTATTTCTTAGTAGGACATACCTTAAACTCAACCACTTAATTTATAAGATGATGTGATATAGAACAATTGTTTACTACCAAGTTAATGAATTGAAAATAAATACAAATGAACTGCTTATTAAATCTTTACAATTTCGCTACTTTGTTTTATTTTAGTACAGATATAATGTTTCATGTACAATGTTTCAGTTGCTTTTTTTTTTCGGAAGGTTTCGTATGGCAATTTCAGTATAAAGTCTTTACCCATAATAAAGGAGGTTAAAGGCAACATAAAAAATCCTTTTACAATGTGCGAAGATTTATTATAATATTTTTTAAAACGTTACCCCCACACTAGAATTTTCTCCTGTATCGTGGAGGCAGTTTACAAACATATATTGCAGAAAGACAGACATCCAGACCCGGAACAATTATTTTGTAAGTTATACAAATAGTTGTCCGTGCGGGATTCGAACCCTCGGCCCCAAGCATGCGTGCAAGTGCAGTGCAAGCTGTGAGTTACATACAAATACAATAAGTATTTTTTTAAAGTTCAAGCCAACTCAAAGAACAAAAAAGAAAATAGTTTTCAATTGTAGTATAATGGCTTCTGAATTAAGACTTGTCAATCGTGAATGATTCGTTCATTTGACCCGGGTCGTATCAAAGTATTTATAATTGCAATTAAATTTTTTAAAGGATTGACAGGATATACGGGTCAAACAGATCACAGAGTACTGAAACTCGAAATTATCTATTTGAATGATTGCCCCGAATGACTCTGTTACACAGTAATCTGTGCTCGGTTAATATGACAAATCAATACTTGAATGATCGGTACTAATACGAATTGTATCGAAGAATTTAAGTCCTGAATACGTAAGCTATTATGTTTTTTTTTTTATTACATGTTCATTTCATGAATGCCGTTGCCTCTCGCCGCGCTCCCTCATACCGCGCCTCAAGCGTTGGCCTCATAGTACCGACAGCAACACTAACATGTATCTACGTCCGTTGTTTGTGCTCCCGTGCGATCTCTAGTTAGTTACATATGTCTAGCGATATCTTACATGGCACCAGGAAGTCACCTATCATATAGGAGCAGCACCGTCTGCTCAGCAAGTAACAGCACGACGTGACTCAATTCACTTACGTGACTTAAGAATATTTAACATAGTATAAAACCCAGGGTCTAATTGTTAAGACGGCCCAGTAGTAATTAAGTTAATTTGTAAGGTAGTTTGTAGTCCATTATTTCTGTGTACTCGGATTGTCACAGTAGTTAACTTATAAGTTAGAAAATAAAAGTAATATAGGAAAAAGACTGCGTCTCCTTCCACTTCAACAATCCCTAAGCTGCCGCAAACGTGAGTGGTGCAGTCGGTAGTTGAAAGGTTATTGCACGGACCTGTGGCAGAAACGGAAGGGGGTCTCAACCATTGGATCAGGACTGGAGAAGCGGAGTACCAGGATGGATTTCATGTAAGTGCACTAGAATAGTCCATGTGTTGCTTCCTTCATTCCACTATTCCCTTCATCTAATTTCAGTTATCCTAGTATACCATTCCAGAACCTTTAATAATTATATTAATTAGGGTTAGGTTAATTATTTTCAAAATTTACCACCCCAGGTTTCTAGAGATCGGGAGCTTGAATTGCGATAGGCCCGCCGACAGATAGTAGATAACAATAGGGATATTTTTTTCTGATCAATCACTTAGTTCCGATATGGTCCAGAACCCCGATAAGGTATTTAAAGCCATACAGGTTATCCCAGAGTTTGATGGGAATCGCGATAGTTGGTTAGTTATTCGGACAGTTTTATTTAAACACGGAAATCCACCGCCTAGTAACTACTTTAAGACTCGCGAAATGCATGTTAATGAATATGCAGGCATTGCCACCGATTACCCGATTGACACACATCCGCCGATCTACTTACGAATCAAGATATTATGATAGTTCAAAGCAATCATAATAAGATGGTATCTGAGTTTAATAATCATATTAGTTTCTAAATCTAGAATTTAGAAATTCATTATGACATCACTAATCCGGCATATTATTATAGTGGTAAATAGAAAACGTCGACTTATAGTAGTCTCCTTCCACTTCTACCCTCCCTAAGCTGGCGCAAACGTAAGTAGTTTGTTACTGTTTTTGTTTCTGTTGACTTTTTACGTTCGTTAATTATTTGTGATAAACACAATGGAGTGATGGCAGTGATATAGAAACAAACGATTTCGGTATAATAATTTAAAATTAATTTTTTTTACAACCGACTTCAATATAAGTTATTAAGAATAACTCAAAAACTTTTGGTCAGACCTTAATCAAATTTATATGGGACCACATGTGAAGCACCAGCTTTCAAATAAAAAAAAGAATCATCGACATCGGTTCACCCAGTAAACAGTTATGAGGTAACATACATTAAAAAAAAACATAGGGTCGATTTGAGTACCGGCCCCTTTTTGAAGTCGGTGGAAAATAACTGGTATCGAAGTTAAGGATGCCTAAATATTACCTTATTAAAATATCTACCTACCAGTTTTTGTTCGCGCCTTCGTAAATAATTCATTTAAATATATAATATAATAAAACTATAATAAAAATTATTGATTTTATCGGACACGTTTATTTTACTTTAGTAACTAAATAAATTATTCAATAATATGCATTTTATCTACCTGCTTACCCTCCATTTCTCTGTATAGGGCACAAACTAATAAGAATGTAAATTTGCATACTTTCATGGTAATACGAAATTCATTTATTGATAATTTTAAATTAAAATTTTTGTGCAGCCGACTTCAATATAAGTTATTAAGAATAACTCAATAACTATTGGACTGACCTTGATCAAACAAGACCACACGAGAAGTATCAGTTTTCAAATAAAAAAAGAATCATCGAAATCGGTTCACCCAGTAAAAAGTTATGAGGTAACACATTAAAAAAAACAGTCGAATTGAGTACCGTCTCCTTTTTGGAAGTCGGCAGAAAAATCGAGCTTCTTACAATTAAAACACTAATAGTTTTGTCTACGGTACCGTCAGCTGTGACGTCATGAACGCGTAGTTAGTTCTTTGAAGACGGATTTTAGTTTTTACCCAACTGCCCCCAAAGGTGAGTTATGTTTTTCGAGAGTACGTATGTATGTCTTATTTCTTTGGCACGCTCTGTAGCCTAAATGTCTTGATGGATGCCGTTAGAATTGTCTTAGTTGTAGAAATGACATAGGATATAAACTTTTCCCTTTTCAGTGAACTTTACGTAGTCGGGGTTTTTAAATTGCTGTTTCAACCTTTGGTTGGGATTTTTCTACATAGTCGGGTTTTTAGGGTTCCGTACCCGAAGGGTAAACGACGGGACCCTATTAGTAAGCCTCTGTTGTCCGTCCGTCTGTCTGTCAGTGGGCTGTATCTCATGATTCATAATAGGCAGATGGTTGAAAATTTCACGGAATGTTTTTTTGTACGTGGTAGAGCCATGCTGCAGCTATATTAATAGTATAGTTGTAGCACGAATGGGTCGGCTCGACCGGGGAAGGACCACGCTCTCATAGAATGCCAGCGTAAAATAGCAGCTTAATGCTGCTGTGTTTCGTATGGTGAGTGAAGAGAACCGGATACCCCTTTTACTGGAAAAGAGGCATTCTATCTTAGTCCTCACGGCTGACAACGCAAAACAAGATAGGTGTAGATGTCTATGGGACACAGCAACTACTTACCATCAAGTGGACTGTGGGCTCGTTTGGTCACCCTTATTCAATAAAAATATGTGTATTTCTGTTGCCGCTAAAACAACTAATAATAAAAATAAAAGAAAATTAAGGGTACTCCCTTACTAGAAACGTGTTTTTATCTATGTAGTATTAAATCTTGTACGATGGTATGTACCTAACCCTTCTTGCGCGCCTCCAACCCTTCCGCCTCGCACTTGGCCGGCTGTTTTGACTTGAGTGGACTAAATAATATCGCGAACTCGAGGTAACAACTAACATGTCGTCGAAATACTTACATAAAAAAAAATCATACTTAAGGGGTTAGTATAGAGAGTACTATAAACTATCGACAATATGTAAATATTATTTAGTATTGTTTTATCAAATATACTCTCTGTACTATTTTTTAAAAAGCATAATTAAAATCGGTTCTACTAGCTCGTCGTCACTGCTAGCGGATTTTTCACTATACCCTACTATCCTACTCCTACTAATATTATAAACGTGAAAGTTGTGAGGATGTGTGGATATTTGTTACTTTTTCACGCAAAAACTACGGAAAGGATTTTAATGAGACCATCGATATTTGTGTACTACGCACTAGATTTCGCATTCCGAACATTTACTACGTTCAACTCAACTGTACTGCAATCCATACGCTAAACTAAATATTATATTGCGTAAATTGAAGATTTCTGAATTCTATAAGATAATTATTATAGCATTTTATTTAGAAATATGTTTGTTTCGACTAAAATAAAAGTATTTTATATTAAATTCTTATATTTATTTTATATCAATATCTTATTTTATATTAATTTAAAGTCTTCGCACATGCGCGACTCTACTATCTCCCGCGCATGCGCGAAGACATAGAGTAGCGCACAATTTTTGTTTGGAATAGTTTCTCTAGTTCTCTAGTACGTAGTTCATATAACTCAATGAATGAGACTTTGTTGTTGTATGTGTATCTCATACATCAGAATAACACATAAGCTATAATTCATAAAGATATTGTGTAAATTGGCCAAAATATTATCTATCATCTATGTAACTATTACTATAATAAAAGTAACGGCGTCTGTGTGAACACGCATCACGCAAAAACCTGTGAACCGATTTGGATTGGGCTTTCACTGGCAGCTGATGTTATAAGGAGTAATTAAGGTTACTTATATTCTAGGTATCCACGAAAAAAAAATTCCAGGCGGGCGAAGTCGCGGGGAACAGCAAGTAATATATAAATACGCTATTTAAACGTCAAATTTTTTTAAAGTAAAGTCGATTCACATTTACAAAATTATGATTTAATTTGGACTAACAATTTGAAGTAAGTAACAGATGTAAGCTTTGCCGCCACAGAATGTTCTCGCATTTAGAATTTGATGATTCCTTCTTTAAGATCTTGTACTTCCTTCGAGTGTATCCACTTGATGCCAGTGGCCGATGCTGCGCTCGAAGGCCTCGAGATGCACCTGCGTTATATTTCGAATACGTATATTAAACTGCATTTTAACCGATTTCAAAAAGGAGGAGGTGCTCAATTCGTCTGTATGTTTTTTTATGTGTGTTACCTCACAACTTTTTTCTAGGTGAACCGATTCCGATGATTCTTTTATTATTTGAAAGCTGGTGCTTTGGTGCTGGTTGATCAAGGTCTGACCAGTAGTTTTTGAGTTATCCTTCATAATGTATATTGAAGTCGGTTATACAAAATTGTTAATTTTACCACTTATGTTTCATTCTATTTCAACATATTTCTATTAAATTCTACTAGACGGATTTTTCTGTCTTATAAAGTTGCGGCGTACAGGTTTTTTCATGATGTTTTCTTTCACCGCCGAGCACGTAGTAACCGCCGTGATGCCTTGTGGTGAGGTGGGGAACGACGAACGACGTCTCTTTGTTAGCCGTAATTTCTGTGAAATATTTAAGCGAGCGCTTATCCCAAAATTTAAAATCTAATTCAAATCTCATTTATTAGTGAATACAGAGACAGAATAAATTAATCACGTACGCTGCATACAAACCCATGTATTCTTCCATTAAAGACTATAAAAGTTTACTGCTGAACATAGGCCTCCCTCATAGATTGCCTTATGGCGGCATTTTGCCATAATTGCCACGCTTGGCAGAGTTTTTTTTTATTATTTTAAGTTGTTATCGGGAAGATGTTACCACCCATCTTCTGTTTCATTTTCCCTTTGTCGTCTCTTACGACTCGCCTTCAGGTAAATAAATATTAAACAACCAAATCAAACATTTTTTTCATTCATTGCTCACGGCCATATCCTTAAGTGAAATTTTATAGGTTCATAATAATAAAAAATAAAAAATTTTGTACAACCGACTTCAATATATATTATTAAGGATAACTCAGAAACTGTTGGTCAGACCTTGATCAAATTTATACGGGACAACGTGAGAAATACCAGCTTTCAAATAAAAAAATAATCATCGAAATCGGTTCACGTAGAACAAAGTTATGGGGTAACACACACAAAAAACATACAGTTGAATTGAATACCTCCTCATCTTTGAAGTCGGTAGAAAAGAAAAAGAAATTTTATGAAATACAATTCAATTCGTCAGCGCAGTAGATTAGCGCTCCGCTGCGGCGCTTCGAGCCGTGGTTTCGTATGCTACACGAAATAACTGTACGAGAGATTAAAACTTAAAACCCTTAAAAGGAGTTAACATAAAAAAAGACAAAAATCAAGACTTACTCTATTTTTTGTCCAAATAAATTCTCCATCCTCACTTTGCAATACAACCATGGACCTTGATTCTTGTGCTCTTCTTGGCAAAACGCCACTTTGGCATCTTTGTACTTGCAGAATTCTTTCAGGACAATATCATAGGGGAACGGGTAGAGTTGCTCAATGCGGCACATCGCTATTTTGTCTTCTAGCTTCTTCTCTTTACGCAAATCGTCGATCGTGATGGCCACTTTGCCGGAACAGAATATCAGCTTCTTCACGCCCTTCGGGTTTTTTGATGCTGGGCCATTCTCTGGAATGGCTCTGATAAATACATACAAGTCAGTATATGTGAAATGACTTCTTATCTTAAAAGTGAATTTATATATTGTTTATATATTTTTTTTACGTGGTAGAGCCATGCTGCAGCTATATTTCTTGTATAGTTGTAGCAGAAATTGGTCGATTAGACCGGAAAAGGACCATGCTCTGAAAGAATACAAGCGTAAAATAGCAGCTTAACGCTGCTGTGTTTTGTATGGCAAGAGACCCTTTTTACTGGAAACGAGCCATTCCATCTCAGTCTTCACGGGTGACAACGCATCTGCATTTTGATTCGTAATCGAGGGTAGATGTAGATGTCTATGGGCCACAGCAACCACTTACCATCAAGTGGACTGTGTGCTCATTTGGCACCCTTTTTCTATAAAAAAGTTAGGTCCACCGTGTACACGTATTTACCCCACCATCCCTGGGTGTGGTAATCGGTGACAGAGGAAAAAACAGTAGAAGGACCAGTGTCGTCCTAATAACGACTAAATATTAAAAGAACTGCGGTTGTCTACCTGCTTGCCATGGGGCAATCTATGGGAAGGCCTATGTTCAGCAGTGGACTTTAGTAGGTAATGGTAACACGTTCTTCGAGTCGATTACCGGTTCTTCAAGTTTATGGCCAGTCTGCAATTTAAACTTACTGATCAATTTGGGCTTTGTCTGTTACTCTGGTTCTATTGCGGATATTCCCCATACGGATTCTACACGCATAGGGACTTCGAGATTAGCTTTCTATATAGCTAAACATATCTTTAAATACATAAACGAATAAATGAAAAACCTTTGAAAAGTGGTTCCAGGCAAGAAGTCCTTAAACGGCGACTTGTAGTATGGGTGCTTGAGGCCGATCTTTGGTGTAAATAGGATGAGCGGCTTGCGGAACGGGAGCGCCACCTGCCGCCGTAGCAAGTGACAGTAGTTGGCCGCGTTGGTCACGTTGCACACTATCCAGTTTGCTGCCCGAAGTTGATTCACTACGACGTAAGCAAATAATATATATTATAAGGTGCTTACATATGAAATTGGTCGTTTCGTTTTGTCGAACTTGCCACTTTGATCTTAAATATCTGGCGTTTGGTTGGGGATTCCAAATTCAAATTTAGGCTTGTGTATTTGAGTTTCGAATTTAGTGATTCATTTGCTTTCAATGTTGCATTTGATTTTTATTTGACATCGTTCTTTTCACAATATAGAAAACTTAATATATCATGTTTTTACGAATACGCGTTGTACCGTGGAACAAGCGCTGCAGTAACAGCTCGAAGAATTAATTATGTGTATGTGGAAGTTACTGTAAAAGAAAACACTGTATGTTTTTGGTTCCAACGTTTTCGTTATGGAAATTTTTCCATACAGAATAAACCGCGTGGATTACCCGGAGACCCTAGCTGACAATGAAGAATTAAAAGCGTGGAAACGGATCCATCGCAAACCACGTAAAAGTGGTGGCAGAATTCGGTGTTAGTGATAAAACGATTATAATTCACTCGAAACAAATTGGAAAAAACTTTGTTCAGCAAAGACTCGACTTCAGACACAAGTTTGTTGCGGTACTCGGCAACGTTTTCCCGAGAAATATTGGCACGGCCGGTGTATAGAGCATGACCAGTGCTGTCATCCGCATAGCAATGAATGTTACCAGTTTGCAACATATCATTGATATGCAGAAGAAACAGCGTTGGTGATAGCACACAGCCTTGTGGAACATCAGCGTTAATAGGCTTGTAGTCGGAGCATGCACCGTCTACAACGACCTCGATGCTCCGATCTGCAAGGAAGCTAGTGATCCAATTGCACAATTTCTCGGGAAGCCCCAATACTGATCTTATTTTATCATAATAGCTGTTAGCGACAATTACATACTCGTAATTTGTATGACAAAGAAAGTACCTACTCGTATGTCAAATTTAGAAAGTAGCAAATAAACCAGATTGTTCTGTATGTTAGCAACTCAAAATATTTGAAATTTGTCGGAGAGATTCAGCCAACTATAGCTTTTCTATGAATTTTCTTGTATTAACTTCAAGAAAAGATCTTTGTAGTTAATACACGAAAATTCTTCAAAGCGTTGTCTCGGAACTTGACCGTATGGATTAATACTGACAAAGCTGATGTACAGGCTGGCCAACGTACGTTACGTTTCTTGCCGCCATTTTGTTTTAGCGGCAAATTTGACAGTTGTACGGTAACAATCATATTGTTTAGCTACGGTAGATTTGATATGGAGCATTTTTCGTTTAAGGAACGTATTTTAATTATAACAACGTTCTACTCAAATCAATCTTCTATTGCGGAAATGCCCAAAAAGTTACGACCAATTTTCGGTAAAAATCACTTACCTTCGCGGATAACAGTGACTTTTTGGTGGATAATTTTGAGCAGCATGGTATCGTAACAAATATACCAGTTTCTTACAGTGCCAGAAGAGTTCGTACGGAGCAGAATAAAGTGTTCGTAAAAGTGTAGCTGAATATCCGACATTGTTCACCAGGTGACGTTTTTAAAAACAAAAAATTAAGAGGACTTTCCTACAAACCTATTCCAAATAAGGTTCAGATAACTCAAGAACTTAAGCCTCGAGACTATAAGCGCCGTCGTAACGTCAGCAGTTTTATGCTAACCAAATTGCAAAACGACCCAGATTTTAATCAAAAAATATTTTTTATAGGATAAGGGTGACAAACGAGCACACAGTCCACCTGATGGTAAGTGGTTGCTGTGGCCCATAGACATCTACATTTATCCTCGTTTGCGAATCAAAATGCAGATGCGTTGTCACCCGTGAGGACTAAGTTTGAATGCCTTATTTTCAGTAAAAAGGGTCTCCGGTTCTCTCCAAACAAACTCACAACACACTCACCAAACGAAACTCAGCAGCATTAAGCTGCTATTTTACGCTGTATGTAATATCCACTGCCCCATATCTTCCAGTGGGTGTCGTAAAAGGCGACAAAGGGGAGGGGGTACTAAGAATCTCCGGTGGAGGTTCGGTTGCCGCCTAAGATGACTCGACCTGGCAACATACAACGCACGCACCCTGAGGACTGATGAGAAGATCGTGGAGCTAGAAAAAGAGATAGACAAGTTACGCTGGCATATTACAGGATTATCCGAAGTCCGAAGAGGGGGGGGGGAGGACACGGTAATCCTCGAATCCGGCAACTTGCTCTATCACCGGGAGGGCGACCATCTGTCCCAAGGAGGTGTCGTATTTATCATCCACAAGTCTCTCGTTAACAACCTTGTAAAGATTGAGAATGTGTCAATGAGGGTTGTGTACCTTATACTCAGAATCACCAAACGGTATTCGCTGAAGGTTATACAGGTTTATGCACCAACAACGGCCCAATGAGCAGGTGGAGGAAATGTATGAGGATATCTCTAGAGCCATGCATTCCTCCAAAACCCAATATACGGTGTTAATGGGAGACTTCAATGCAAAACTAGGCACAAGAGAGAACGGTGAGCTGAAAGCAGGGAAATTTGGAATAGGGCAACGGAACCCAAGGGGCCAGCAGCTGAATGGAGAAAGAGGGACTCTTTATGATGAACTCTTTCTTCCAGAAGCGGCCCCACAGGAAGTGGACCTGATCGAGCCCCGAAGGTTCCACAAAAAATGAGAATGACTTCATTATGACGACCAGACGACAACTGTTCAGTGATGTCTCCGTGATTGCGAGGGTGAAAACAGGTAGCGATCACCGAATGGTGATAGGCACACTTAACCTAAAATTTAAGTTGGAGAGGTCTCGTCTAATGAAGTCAACGCTCCGTCCCCTTCGTGCTCTGTTCAAAGACCCGAAACCTTTCAGCTCGAGTTACAAAACAGTTTTCAGTGCCTAGAAGACTGCAATGAAGTGGACGATATGAATGACAAGCTCGTGGAAACTGTCCATGAGATCGGAGCTAAGTTCTGCAAGACCCGCCGCAGAAGAACATAAAAACTCTCCGATCACACTCTCAATCTCATGGCTGTGAGACGGGAGATAAAACTACATTCTTCAACAGATTTGACAGCATACAGGCAACTGAATCGACAGATCTCCAAATGCATGCGGCGGGACTTACGCAACTTCAATAGAGCTTGTATTGAAGAAGCGATCGAGCGGAACCAAGGCTCCAAAGCCTTTGCCAGAGATCTGTCTGCCAGAAAGAGCCAACTGTCGAAGTTGAAGACCGAGTATGGCAGCATCGTTTCCGGGGCACCTGAGATTTTGAGTGAGATTGAGAGGTTCTATGGGCAGCTTTACACGTCATCGTTGGAGCCACACGCAAGTGTGAGTAACGATCCAAGAGCGAGTCTTATCCGACACTATTCCAAAGATATCCCGGACGACAGTCTGAGCGAAATTAGAATGGCTCTCCAGCACCTTAAAAACGGCAAGGCCCCAGGCGAGGATGGAATTACAGCGGAGCTTCTGAAAGCGGGTGGAAGACCGGTACTTGAAGTCGTTCAGAAGCTCTTTATTTCCGTCCTCGATGGTGGCATTACACCGGAGGCGTGGAGCAGAAGTGCGGTGGTCTTGTTCTTCAAGAGAGGTGACAACGCTCTCTTGAAGAACTACAGACCGATTTCCCTTCTGAGCCGCGTCTACGTGCTGTTTTCGAGAGTCATTACGAATCGTCTCGTGCGCAGACTTGACGACTTCCAGCCTCCCGAACAAGCCGGTTTCCGAAAGGGGTTTAGCACCATAGACCACATACATACCCTTCGGCAAATTGTACAGAAGTCCGAAGAGTACAATTTGCCACTATGTCTGGCGTATGTGGACTATGAGAAAGCCTTTGATTCCGTCGAAATTTGGGTGGTGCTGCAGTCCCTTCAGCGGTGCCAAGTTGATTGTCGGTATATCGAAGTGCTGAAGTATTTGTACAGTAGAGCTATGATGGCTATCCGAGTACAGAACCAGAGTGCGAAACCTATCCAATTGCAGAGAGGTGTAAGACATGGTGACGTTATATCCCTGAAACTCTTCACCGCTGCATTGGAAGACGTTTTCAAGCTTCTGGACTGGAAAGGATACGGTATTAACTTCAATGGCGAGTACATCACTCACCTTCGATTTGCCGACGATATAGTCCTTATGGCAGAATCGCTGGAGGACCTAAGCACCATGCTCAATGACCTCAATAGTGTCTCTCAACGAATCGGTCTTAGGATGAACATGGACAAAACAAAGATCATGTTTAATGTCCATCTCACACCTATGCCGGTAGTTGTTGGGATCACAAAGCTCCAAGTTCTTGACGAGTATGTTTACCTGGGACAAATAGTCCGACTAGGTAAGTCAAACTTCGACCGAGAGGTCAATCGACGGATTCAACTTTGATGGGCAGGGTTCGGGAAACTACGACACATCTTCTCGTCAGACATACCTCAAAACCTTAAAACGAAATTCTACAACCAGTGCGTGTTGCCAGTGATGATTTACGGATCTGAGACGTGGTCGTTCACTGCTGGCCGGATGAGGAAGCTCAAGGTCGCTCAGCGAGCTATGGAGAGGGCTATGCTCGGGGTTTCTCTCCGTGATAAACTTAGAAATGAGTATATCCGCAGTAGAACCAGAGTGACCGACATAGCCCAACGGATTAGTAAGCTGAAGTGGCAGTGGGCCGGCCATATAGCTCGAAGAACCGACAACCGATGGAGAAGAAAGGTTCTTGAGTGACTACCTTGTACCGGTAGGCGAAGTGTAGGGCGACCCCCCACGAGATGGAGTGACGACCTGCTAAGACATGCAGGAAGTCGATGGATGCAGGTGGCTCAGGACCGTGCTTTGTGGCATTCCTTGGGGGAGGCCTATATTCAGCAGTGGACTTATGAAAGGCTGTAATGATGATGATGATGATTCTGTGAGAGCATGGTCCTTCCCCGGTCGAGCCGACCCAATCGTGCTACAACTATACTATTAATATAGCTGTAGCATGACTCTACCACATATAATTTTTATATTTATATTTAGGTAGAGATCATCGTCGCAAACTTCGATTGTAGAAACCACACACTTAGGAAATTTTGTATCAGTATTTTCTTTTAGCTCCCGTTTCCACTTTGTAATTCATAGCTGATACCCTGTAACGAGAGTGGCAGCAGGAACATTCAAGAAATGGGACATAACATTCTGATACTTCTAGATTCACATTAAGTAGATCGTCTTCTGTATATTCAGATTTTGGCATAAAAATGCCTAATCCGAACAGGTTCATCATATCCACAGAAAGTCGGTCCTGTAGGTCAGTCATTATGCTATCTATCAGTGGGCTATAAACAGTCCTCCGAAAATTTTCCTCATCATTTCCTTGATAATTATCGCAGTCTGTCAGTAACTTTTAGAAGATTTTTTCAGTTTGACGTGTATGATTTTGGGGGTCATGTCCCCTGTGACCCTCCCCTTCGGACCGCGCCTGATACACGACTATACGAAGTGCACCACCAAGTCCAAAATCTTTATTAAAATAAAGTTGCACATAAAATTTTTTATTATAATATTAAGAAGTTTATGGATGATCCCTAATAACACCTGGGAATGAGGTAGTAACTACCAAGTTAGCTATAGCTTATAACATTATATCCAAGATAGATGAAATAACTTCAAAAGGCGTCCAACTTGGATTGCAATGGGTCCCATCGCATATTGGGTTACGGAGCAACGAAAAGGCTGACATGTTGGCGAAATATGCAGCTAAGAATAGAAAGGAAACTAATATTATTTTGGATTATTCAGAAACATAGTATAAAAGCCTGTGTACAAACAAATAAATAGCCTGTTACAGTGTAACAACAGTGAAATATCACCTATTACAGTGTAGGTACTAGATAATCTTACTTTTACTTGTTCTACAATAACTCAGCTCCTAGATTGACAAATCTTGCCAGATTTTCAGCTATGAATTGTTTATATATACGTTTTCAAATGTTCCTACTTTCATCTTGTTAACACTTTGGCCCAAGGATGTATGGAGACGTATCCTTCTCCTTTGTATTCCGGATGAGAAAAACAACTTCGCCCAATTGTGAAGACTGTGGAGTTATAGAAGACCTACACCATATATTGATGGAATGTGTTCGGTTTTGTCCGAATTTGAACAGAACTGACGTAGGCACACAATATCCTATCCCAACCAAATGGCGACGATGCGAAAGTTCTGTTCGAATCCATGGCCCACGTAGTGAAGTATGTGATATATGTTAGGGTATGATGGAACTGACATACGCTAAGCGGTAAATCTAATTATTGTAGAATAAAAAAAAGTTAGCTCTAACATGATTTGCATAGTTAATTGTGTAACATGATTTATTGTTCTTTTTAAAATTAATAATTCTATTCTATATTTTTTTTCTAAAATTTCCACATACACCAAGGCAAGGTTTGAATTCAGTGAGCTCTGTTTGCGAGTGCACATTCAACTTGTAATATCTCCTACGCAGTTGATAGGGTCAGATTATTCTAATGTTGACATTTTAGAAAATCGAGTCGGCAACAGGACAAGTCTTTTGTTCGAAGTCGCTGGATCGGTTAATAGGCGGGGTGGACATCATTTACGGATACATCCAAGTGATTTTTAATTTTGACACGTGATTACCGTCTAACAGGATAATCACCACTTCTACTACACTTAGGTGAGATTGTAGGCTTATAATAAGTAAAAAAAAGTAATTTTTACCTTAGTAATCCTTAATCTTTGATTAGCATGCTCTATGTAAAGTCCCAAACAGTTGATACTCACAGACCATGTCTTTGTCGTCAAGGTCTGGAAGAATGTCCTCGTCGTCGTTGCACTGCATCAAGTAACGTTCCACACGCGCTGACGAGTGCTCTGGGCCCTGGATAACAAGCACCAGTAGATAGGTTGTTCTATTCTCTTTACACAGATATCCTACTACATATTTTTATTTAGTGTTATTATAATTACACGAAACAGCGGTAAACTAAGTTCTCGGGGGCTACGACGCCGTTACCGTTACAGTCTACTAAAGTCCAAAAAGTAAAGGGGATATTTGGCACAGTTGCCACGCTGGGCAATCTGGTTGGCGATCGGCTTCTTTATTTTTAGTCGTTATTAGGAAGACGCTGCTGTCCATCTCCTGATTTGTTTCCCTCTTTCGCCTTTTACGACACCCACGGGACGTAATGGGGTAGTGGATATTATTACACCGTTACTACACGATAACAACGCATCTGCATTTTGGTTTTTAATCGAGAGTTGTAGGATGGATCAAAAGCATTCACCTACAATAGGTAATATCAGGTGGACTGTATTCTAGTTTGTCATTATTTAAAGGTTTATTATATTACATTGAATTTAGGAATATTTATAAATTCTAATAGGATTCAGGTAAGGATAAGTACAGTGTAATAAGACTTAGGACTCGAATCGGTCGGCTCGACTGGGGATGGACCTCGACCTTCGTACAGAATACCAGCGTATAAAATTAAAACAAAGTTAAAGTCAATGTACCTATGTCCCACTGCTGGGCACAGGTCTACTTTCATCATTGAGAGAGTTTGTCCATCGAGCTGCCTCAATGCGTGTTGGCGAAATTCACATGTCTGCGATTTAATTTTAATTTCTCAGGTTTCTTTACGACGTGTTTCTATTGCAATTAACAATTCCATAGGCGCCGGCGGAGATCGAACTCTGGTTACAACTTCCGCTTAGCCCTTGAGCTACACCGTCACTATAATAAAATAGCCGCATAATGTTGCTGTGTTTCGTATGATCATCATCATCATCGTAGTCATGACAGCTCTTCACAACTCCACTGCTAAACATAGTCTTCCCCCAAGGAATGTTACAAAGCACGGTCCTGATGAGTGACGAAATCTGGAGACCCATTTTTAATTCTTAATCGATGACAGATGAAGTGTACTATGAGCGACAGCATCCATTTACTATCAGGTAAACTGTGTGCTTGTTTGTGAGCCAGTTCTATAAAAAGGAAACGTTGAGGAGTAGTAAGGAGTAATTAGCCTGGGATCGAAGGTATGTCGTCACTGAAAAAAAATATCACAGACAAACAAAGAAAGAGATGAAGCGTAGCGAACAACGTGGTAGAAAATTAACGTTGGTACAGCCACGCTGCAGCTATACTATGGTTATAGCAAGAATAGGTCGGATCAAAGCCCGAACGGGTTTCAGTCTTGTCGTGGCGGGTGGGCTTAGTAGTCGTGGCTTGGTCACTCGCGGAAACAAAGCGGAACCCCTTGGCTGGCCCGTGGTGTAGGGCCGGCCCAAGATGGCCACTCCGAGTGAGGCGAGCCCACTTCGGATGTGTGTCGGTGGGCTATGGTGAGAGGGGTGTCCTCTCCCCCTACCGCTGTAGCCGAGGCGGAGTCACGGAGGAAGAGAATTGCTGGTATGGCGATGCGCCTATCGCCCTATCCTTCGCGACTCCGACGGGGCCGCACCGTCGATGCGGTGGTGGTGGGGACGCGGGGGGAGAGGAGTGTCGGTATTGCAAGGCGCCGCTCTCCCTGCCCTCCGCGGCCGAAACTTGGTTGGCGGCGGAGCCAGAAACCAGATCCGCCTCTGGGGTCGGGAAAGCGGGTGCTACTATGCGCTCGATTTTCCTGGCATGGCTATGGCCTCCGCGTATCAGACTCGGGGGGCCCCGATACGGTGGAGTTGGAGGCCGTGGAGGGGGGCATGCACTGGTTCCTGGTGCGCCTTGCCTGAGAAGGAGAATGGGGAGGAGAAGTCCTCCCCCGAGAAGGGGCCGCCATGGGGTGGCCGGCGTTGGTGAGGCCGCGGTTGTGTGCGAAAGCGTTCCCGTGGCCCTGCAAATAAGCGGGGAAGGTAGAACACCATGGGGTTTTAGTCGGCGCAAGTTCGACATAACCCGTCCTTGCTCCTGCGAGGCGGGTATGCGTAGGCATTTCCCCATGTAAAAGAAAAGGTCGGTTTGACTGGGGACCACGCTCTCACAGAATACCAGCCTGAAATAGCGGTTTAACTCTGCTGTGTTTCGTATGATGAGTGTAGAGAACCGGAGATCCTTTTTACTGGAAACGAGGCATTGTATCCAAGGGTCAGTTCACACAGAGACGCGACGCAACACGACCATGCTTGAAGAGGCCAGTGGTTTCGCACCACGCAGCGCACCGCCGCGATACGCATCACAACATCGCGTTGCGCATCGTGAAATCGCTGGCAACTCACCACTTCTGCATGCTGCGCCTACCGACGAAGCACCGCTTCGTCGTGGTGCGCCTCATTATCGAATTATCATTTTCGAATTATCTCAATAAAATATGTATCTTATAATGTAGTAAATAAGGTTATATTTTGTATGGTGTGAGCTGACTCTTAGTCCTCAGGGGTGACAACGTATATGCATTTTAATTCTTAATCGACGATAAATGTAGATGTGTATGACCATAGTATCCATTTACCATCAGATGGACTGTGTACACGTTTATTACCATTGAGTTATATGTACTACGTACTAGAGAAGCCATTCCGAACATTGACTATGTTCAACTGAACTGTAGTGCAATCCATACAAACTAAATTTTGCGTAAATTGAAGATTTGTGAATTCCATAAAATAATTATTATAACATTTTATTTAGAAATATGTTTGCTTAGATTAAATTAAGATATTTTATATTAAATCCTTATATTAATTTTATATCAAATTAAAGTATAGAGTAGGACACAATTTTTGTTTGGAATGGCTTCTCTAGTACGTAGTACATATAACTCAATGTTTATTACCCTCATTGTCCTCATTCTATAAAAAAAAAAAAACGTTTAAGAGACGCTAAAATCGTGCTCTATCGCTCTATCTATAACAACAAATCAAACTATGTTGTTGGTTTCAAATTATATTAGATTCATGTGTGAGTGTATGTGTTTTTATAATAAGTTTTCTTAGAATAATATTCCATGTTTCTATTCAGTGTGGGCCTACTAACCGCACCATCAATACCATGCGGTAATTGCACCACGATGCCGGACTGGCAGACCCACTTGCTCTCGCCATTGCTGATGAACGTATCGAAAACTGGCTGAGCCGTGTCCGCGAAGTCACCGTACTGCGCCTCCCAAATCGACAACAGATGTGGACTAGAGTACGAGTAGCCTGTCTCGAAGCCGAGGATTCCTGGATACAGAGTAATAGGAATATTTATAAGAAAATTTAGCCAACAGTATATAATTATTAATTGTGCCGAAATAATATTCATATTATTTCTATTATATATATATTTTAATATAAATAAATTAATATTCATATTATATATATATTTTACTCTAATAACGTAATATTTAGCGCGCGCTGTAAATATCATAATACGCAAGCAACCCGGGTTCGATCCCAGCCGGCACCAATGAAATTGTTAATAGCAATTGTAAGTACCGATTTACCACGTGCCACCGCCGAGTGAAGGAAAACATCGTGAGGAAACTTCATGTCTGAGAAATAAAAAAAAATATTACGAAGACATGTGAAGTTCGCCAACACACATTGGGGCAGCAAGACGGACATATTCTTGCCCTAAAACCTTTTCAGAAATGAGAGAAGGCCTGTGCCCAGTCGTGGGACGTACATAGGCTGTAACTTCCTGCTTGTCGTACCAGGTCGTCACTCCATCTAGTGGGGGGTCACCTTGTCACCCTTATTCTATATGAACAAACCGGCCAAGTGCGAGTCGGACTCGCGCCCTGAGGGTTCCGAACAAATCCGTAGGTATATAAGTTTAAAATTATTAAAAACATTTTTATTATATGATGTAACTAAAAATTTATGCTTTTCGCAATTTTTCCTTTATCTGTGCTATAATACGTTGCTTCGTACCAAATTTTAAGATTCTGAGTTCACGGGAAGTACCCTGTAGGTTTTGATTACCTTGCGAATGTCGAAAATTTGCGGCATAAACGGCTGTATCTTTTGATTGTGTTGGCTTAGAAGTTAAAAATTATGTTTTTGTTATAAGTAACGTATATACTTTCATAACGTATATACTTTTATAAGTGCATTTTTTTGACTGCCTCGTTGGTCTAGTGGTTGTAGTAATGCAACTGCCGATCACGAGGTCCCGGATTCGAATCCCGGGTCGGGCCAAAAAAAATCAGTTATTGAGTTTTTCCATCAAGAAACTATCAGTAGCTGCCCGGAGTCAGGAAGTTGGCGGTGTCTCACCCCCGTGCCTCGGAAAGCACGTAAAGCCGTTGGTCCTGTGCCGGATCTCTCCCCGGTCGAGTCGGTCTACCGTCCCATCGGACTTTGAGAGTGAGGGAATGGGGAGTGCACCTGTGCTTGCGCATACATTCGGGCACTATAATCCTGTCCTGCGCCGATGCCTAGTCTTCGTTGAGACTGGCCACCGTGACCGAAATTCGGTCTGGAGGACATTATTATTATTATTAAGTGCATTTAGTAAAAATCTGTTATTTTGACATTACAAACAGACACTTTAATTTTATTTACTTATTATTTGTATACTTATATAAATTTTCATTTTATCTCATAATTACAAGCCAAGGGTGACGAACTCCTTCCTTATAACGGAATTTTTTTCCACAATTGACTTTTTCTGTCTAGGCGTCCGTCTGTGTATATACCATCCTCTTAACTACTTTCGCTGTCAAATGATAGTGCTTGCACTGCTGGGTTACGGTATGAAGGGTACATACAGGGAAACCAACAGTACCAGTAAAATAACAGGATGACTGCTGTAGCCACTTACCATCATGTGGGTTGTAAGTTCTTTGGCCCCTTTTGTTTTATAAAGAAAAAGAAGAAAAGCTATTACCACTACTAACCGAACTCTGACAAGGAACTGTTGTAAAGCGAGTACTTGGCCTGATCCGGGTACACGGTGTCAAGGACTCTGTATGTGGCTCCGTCCACACCTTGATGATGGTACACGTGGTGCCTGATACAAAATATATCTTTTAATTTTTCTGTTCACATATCATTATTTAGACGCGTGACCGCATGCCAAATATCAAAAACTAGCGACCCGGCTTCGCACCGTTGATTTCTGGACCTCGACAAAATGCCACCTACCGGGTCCAATTGTGAATCTAAACCATTCTCTAATCAACTTAATAACTACAATATTTGGGCACCACACGAGCTCAATGAACAATTGCTACAACAAAAGAGATCAATTATATATTCGGAGATTTCAACATTGACCTACTTACGAAAGACAAAACTTCAACTAAGTACAAACATACAATAAGAGAATCAGGGCACAAGTTATTAAATAAAATTCACAAAAAATATTGTACTAGAGAATCAGAGACGAAGAAATCTATCTTAGATCATGTCAGTTCAAATCTTCAATGTGAACAATTCAATTTTGTTATTATTAACTCGTCCATGACAGACCACAAACAGATCTTCCTGCAATTGAATAAATATGAACCACCCAAGAAAGTAAGAACGACTTATGAGGCAATAGATTACAAAAGAATGTATACTGAAATGGAACCATATGAAACGGAAGCCACTGCAGACACCTACGAATATCTTGAAAATAAAATAAAACAATGCGTAACACATAATCGAGTAGTGAAAACGAAAACACTGAACCCCCTAAAAAGGACTGGATCAACAGTGATATAATCACTGGGATTGCCTAAAGGAACTACCTATGATTGCAACACAAAAAAAAATCAAGATGACAAGAGACTAGAACAAGAATACAAGCAAAAAGAGACACAATAGCTAAACTGATACAAAATACGAAAACTTCCTACTACTATAAACTATTTATAAAATATACTAATAATCCTAAAAAGATGTGGGCTCTTATAAATAACCTAGCAAATAACAAAATAAAACAAAGTAGTGCTCCTCCAAAGCTCTTAATAGACTCTGAACTAATTAGCGAGATAGATGAAGTTTGTGATATTTTTCTACTATAGGTTCTCTATTAGCAAAGAAAATACCTAACAAATATTACGATAGTACCTTGAATCCTGCCTTGAATCTACCTTGAATCCTGATTTCATACAACAAAAAATAAACGATCATAAACTGTCTGCCTTTACCCCATGTAATGCAAATGAAATAAATAAAATTATTCAAAACCTAAATCCCAATACTAGTAGTGAAATAGACAAAATCAGCACAAAAGTCCTAAAATGTTTACAAGATCTAATCTCTGAAAGCCTGGCACATTCAATAAACAAACTTATGACTGACGGCGAATTTCCCGACACTTTGAAGGTTGCAAAAGTAACACCAAATTACAAATCCGGGCCCACAACTGACCCAGGAAACTATCGCCCTATTTCTGTACTACCAGTATTGTCGAAAATCCTAGAAAAAGTAATACACAACCGTTTATCAAGTTACCTTGATTCCTTTAACTTTATATCTCCACGTCAGTACGGTTTTCGGTCAAGAAGCAATACAACTGCGGCAATAGTAGATTTAACAACAAAAATAAAAGAAAACCTGGATTAAAAAAAAAAAGGATTGTTCTATGCATTTACACCGACCTGAAAAAAGCCTTTGATACCGTAAGTCTCCAGTTACTTTAAAAAAGTAAGAGCACATTGGTACCAAAGGTAGTGCCCTTAAAATGTTTGAGTCGTACCTAACAAATAGATTACAGATAGTCAAAATAGATAATAACCAAAGCAATACCCAACCCATTACATATGGTATCCCACAAGGGTCCATATTGGAGCCGCTTCTTTTCCTTATCTATGTTAACAATATAACGGATTTAAGACTACACGGCCATTTAACTTTGAACGCGGACGATACATACCTATTCTATTTCGGTACTAATATGGACGAAATCATCTCAAAAGCTCAAGAAGACCTTAACATATTGTTTGAATGGTTTCAGTCCAACCTGTTAACAATCAACATCTCAAAAACATGCTATATTATGTACAAGTCGAAAAATAAAATAATTCCTTCGCATGCTCCTTTAATAATTGGCAATATTCCACTCGAACAAAAAACTTGTGAAAAATATCATGGTCTGAGAATGGATAGTAATTTAACATGGAACATACAGATAGAATATATAAAAAGCAAATTATCGTCGCTAACAGGTTCACTCCGCAACATAAATCAATGTATACCTAGAAAACTAAGTTTCAATATCTACAATTCACTTATCAAATCACATGTATTATATTTATTAGAAATATGGGGCAGTGCCGCCACAACAAAACTGCAGGAACTACAAAGAGCTCAAAATAAAGGAATAAAAATACTTTTATCCTACCCATACTTAACATCGACTCGTAAAATTTTTGAAAATAATGAACATTCGACAACTTTATTTATATTATTATTTATTTTATCTTTATTTATATATTATATAGCACTTGCATTCTAATTAGGAAGATCATGAGTAAAAACATCCAAACTAGTTTGTCCTTTACCAAAAAGTCACAAATATCCAAACGCAGTCTTCGTCGACCTAGCTGGCTTGTATTGCCAAAGACACGTACTAAATTAGGAAAAAAAATTACCTTTGAGGGAGCACACTTTTATAACAGCCTACCTTCTCATATTAAAAATATAGATTTCCTTTAACAATTTCAAGTCTCAATTGCACAACTACATTCTTGAAAGCTGCTGATTTGTAATTTCGGAGAGTGTCACGATGGAACTGTGAAGACGGTTACCGTTACCTACATTAAGTTTATATTATTGTTCTCATGTAAGTGGATTTTATAATTTTTTTGTGAGAATGAATTCTTTAAACCTAAACCTAATGAAAGAAACATAATGAATCGTCACGATTCATTAGGTTTTTCAATCGTCGCATTTGCGATTCCCTATTGAAACGTAATGAAACCGAACCATTTTTGAAAAGGTTGATCTCTGGTGATGAAAAGTGTATCACTTACGACAAGAACGTATGAAAAAGATCATGGTCAAAGGGTAGTCAAGCTCCACAGACTGTAGCGAAACCCGGATTACCACGCAATAAGGTGATGCTGTGTGTGTATGGTGGGATTGGCAGGACATCGTTTATGATGAGTTTTAACCGACGGGCAAATTCGGATCTCTACTGCTAACAACTAATGAAACTCAAGCAAGAAATTGAGAAAAACAGAAAAGCAGTGGTTTTTCATCACGATAACGCCGGACCACACACATCTTTGGCCACTCAGCAAAAATTGAGAGAGCTTGGTTGGGAAGTGTTTAGGCATCCACCGTATAGTGCTGACCTTGCATCTTCAGATTTCCACCTGTTTCGGTCTCTTCAGAATTCTTTGGGTAGTGTTAGATTAACATCAAGAGAAGACTGTTTAAACTACTTGTCGCATTTTTTTTATCAAAAATCCCAAGATTTTTATAGCGACGGGATTATGTCACTACCTACACAGTGGCAACAAGTTATCAAACAAAATGGCAAATATATATTATAATAAATTGAATTTGTACTTATATAAAATACGAAAAAACTTTTCCCCGACCGTATATAAGGCGTACTACACGTCTACAGGATAACACATATAGATAGAATCGAGCGCAAACTAGGCTTAAAAAGGCTTAAGTAGCGTTGATATTAGTATGTTGATATTAGTCAAGACCATCAACAACACACAACATTGACGCAAAGTAGGCTAAAAAATTGCTGTAAAGGTGCTAATAGGGGTATGGCTTTAAAGCCCAACTGTGTGCCAAAGTGCCCGAAAGCAACATTAACACAAACTAGACTGAAAAAATAGCTTTAAATTTGCTAATAGTGCTATGACTGTCGAGCCCACCTATGGGCCATGGTGCCTCGCTCCACGTCCTCACCGGTGAGACGCACGTGTATGTGGTCGCGTAGCAGCGATCCGTATGCCAGCGCCTCCCCCATCGCCCAGTCCGCAAAGCCTTCTTTCACCTGACACAAAACATATCGTCAAAATACAAAAGGTTTTTTCAAAATTTTGCTTGTAGTTTGTAATTGGGTGCAAATGGGTTAAGAAGAAAAACCGTGTAGTTGTCGCATCGCGCGTTTAAAGCCTGTAATACTTACTTGCCTAAAAGTATAATGAATCTTTATAAATTTATGTGATAGTTGACAAGACAATCAAAATTCAAAATTTTACTTATACATTTTACTGGATACACATTGTAAAACAAGTACAAGGATTTATCCGAATAACAAAAATGAAGTTGGAGTTTTACCAAGTGACAACAATCGCAAGTATTATACAAAATTCAAAACTAAAACATCTAGACTCATGATGTGGACCATAATCTTTGATAATTTAAAGCTAAAGAAAATTAAAAAAAACTTTTCGTAGCTGTACGTACCATCTTCTCTCGATTCGCCAATATTTTATTGATGCCCTTGTGAACTTCGAACGCCCAGGGCTCGGGCGGCGTGCAAAAGTGTTTCGCGATCGTCATTATAGACTCTTCGCATATTCCAGTATCACCGATCTACAAACAAAAGTATATATTATAATAGAAACTATATAAGAAAGGTTTGTGTAGGTAGTGATAATGTGCATTCAAACGAAACTCCAATGCTATTGATAATTTTGATGACAAAGAAAAAATTCTGGAAGAAAAACCTGGAGCTGAACCGAGCAAAAAAACCAAGTAAGCTTCAAAATTACATAACATGGAGATAACATTTATAACTTGATAGACCCCAATTTTTCTGGTTAACTCCGCCATCAACTTAAATAGATAGGCCACTTGCTCCAAATAAATTTTTTTTAAAATACATAACAAATTCCTTAGTTACATTGGTTTTCAATACAAATTTGTATGTCATAAGAAAATAACCCCGTAGTTTCAAGTCCTCTGCTGATACAGAAATGAAAATACTTTTAGGACTTAATTTCATATCGGGTAATCTGACAAATAATACATGAAAGGAAAACCTGATCCATGGGACATGAAGATATTTATGATTTGCGGTAAGAACGGTGTAGTTTATGATTTTATAATTTATCAAGGTACTACTACAAACCTAGAAAAAATTACGTTATGAAATATGGTGCATTAGCTGCTTATATGAATCTACTATTTCAAAGGGTAACTAACCCTGATCATTATCTTTTTATGTCAATTACTTTTCCAACTACATATTATTGAGATATCTTCGTGAACGAAAGATATACGCTGATGGAATAATCGGAAAACTTCCCCTGATAACAGACAGGGAGGGAGCCAAAAAAGAAAGAGGTATACCGATCAAGCTACAAACAGTAACAAAAATGCGTTTGTCATAAAGTGGATGGACAATAAGGGTGTGTGCTTGCTTCGAATTTTGGTGGAACAGAACAAGAAGATGAAGTAAGAAGATGGAACAAATTATCTAAAAATTACATTACAATTCCTCGCCCTCAGCTAGTGAGTCTGTATGATAATGGAATGGGTGGCGTAGATAAAATATATCATCTTATTATTAGTTTGTACCGCATCTTTATCATATCCACAAATTGGACATTCCAGAGGATATTCCACTTGGCGCTAAGTGATAGTTGGCTGGAATATCAAGAAGATTGAAAAACATGCAACATCCAAAACATGAATGTTATAAAATGGGATAGCCATGAATTGCTAGAAAACAAAGGCGCTGGTCCTAGTAGTCCGATAAATACCCCAACCAGTACATAAAACGACGTTGTCGCAGCGATGTTGAAATTAGACCTGCGAGTGAAATTAAATATGATACTGTAGATCATTTACCTGAATACGACAAGAAAAAGGAAGCAAAAGATGCAAGAAACCGGAATGTAAAGGTAAAACACATTAGTACTGTTTGAAGTGCTAAATAAACTTATGTTTTACTGGTAAGCGAAATTGTTTTTGAGAATTTTGCCAAATTTTGCATGCCTTAAGCGCAAAGCGCAGAGATTCCAACATTTTGTCGCATAAAATCGTATCTAACAATCATATTGAACATATAAATGATATAAAAAGCACATTGTCAGAAAGATAATTGATTGTTGAACTTATTTTTGTATTTTGATTTAAAAGAGATCACTATGTACGTTGTTAATAAACAAATAAAGATGAATAAAAGTTTGTATTTTATAAAAAAGCCAAACATATACCGAATAAAAAAATATTTGGAGGTAACTGAAAGGATGTATGAGAAACGGCCACTATAAACTACACTAAAAATAAACTAAAAAAGGTATAAACATTTTTATATTACAATTCATCAATTATTATCTAAACACTAAGAAAATTGAAACACAAACTTTTTTCTGACGTGTTTTGAAAATTGAGGTTTAATTCTAATTTAATAAAGTTACTAAACCCATTTTTAGTATGTAATTATTAGGCTGGGTTTCCATCAGAGATGTGCGAGGTAGCTAGGCGGTGCAAGGATGCGTAGCGAGGCTATGAAATGGTGTGAGTGTTTCCACCAGAAATGTGCTAGGCCGCTGAGCGGTGCAATGAAGCGCAGCGACGCTGTGAAACGGTGCGCAGATGAGCGGTTCGAGGATGTGTAAAAATATAATTATATGTATGGTTGTTGTGAAAAAAAGTAAAAAGTTTCAAAGTTCAATTTTAGAAAGCGATATCATTTTCAAATTGAATGTAGTTCGTTTTGTTTAACCTCGCAACACATCTCTCGCGCACATCCCTCACTACACATCCCTCGCACACATCTCTCGCAACACATCCCTTGCACACATCCTTCCCTTGTTTTGTATGTACAAAAACCTGTGGTGAGCGAGGCTATGTAAATGAAGTGATTCTATTGGATTCTATTCTTTCCTCGCACATCTCTGGTGGAAATGCAGCCTTATCGTGTTCCATCTAAACTAAGAGAGCTGACATTATATTATTAGCTATGAGGTATTACATATTAATCTTCGGGGTAACAATGTACCAGAAGATTTCATTTTTGAAATTCGCTGGAGGTGTACTGAGGCTGAAGTGAATTAATGTTTATCAGATAGACTAGAGCTCATTGATAATTCATCATTTTTTTAATTCTTAAAAAATCGTGGAATAAATATAATCACCCGTTTGGGATCCCTGGATTCAAAAAACCCAGTCCACGGTGTATCGATCCAGTCCATGATGCTCAATTTGGTCACCTTCTTGGCCAGCTCGAAGTGCTTGTTCAGTGTGTCCAAGTATTCCTTCTCCCAACCCTTGATTTCAGCATCCGTTACCATTCCCTCGCTCTTCAATTTATCAGCGTATATCTGGTCAACTGTTGGAGAAAGGAGTGATTCTCATGAAATGAAATCTTTTGCAGTGTCTGATATATCTTTATTTATTTTTAAAGTAGAGGAGGCAAATGAAAATACGGCTCACTTGATGGTAAGTGATCACCGTCGTCCATGAACATCTGTAATACTAGGGTATTTGCAGGTGCGTTGCCGGCCTTTTAGAAAGGGTTATGCTCTTTTTTTATAGCTCTTATCGGTCCGAAAATTCTATTTAAATCACACACGTGTAATTAGGGTATCCAGTTTTCGTCATTTGTCACAAAACGAAAGAGCATTATGTTGTTATTTTACCGTGTTATTCTATGCTAGCGTGGTCCTTTCCCAGTCGAGCCGAACCATTTGTGCTTTTGCCATAATAAATCTGCGAAATAGCTCTACCATAATATATAAGACATAAAAACTTGGCAGGCGGGTTAGTAATCATCATACCAAATATCTTGCACCTTTAACGATTCTATTTGTCACCGGTCCTGTTGTTATAATATACCAGGGTAGTCTGAAAAGTTCTCGACCTCAACGTGAAGATTGCAGCACTCGTCAATAAAAGCTAGTGAATGTAGTTGTGTATCTTTTGACAGTTACGCACCAAAATTTCAGCCATTTTGGACGTGTAGTTGTTATTTGACAGTCGTTTGAGTGAGTCGATGTGTGTTTTTGTGAAAATGGAAATTTTCTTTTTAAAAGGCCTACGCAAATCAAAGATTAGTAGGACTCTGTTTATGGGAACTTTGCCCCATCATTTACCACAGTAAAACTTTCGGCAGCTGAATTTAAACATTGCCGTGAGAGTTTGGGTAACGACGAACGATCGGGAAGTCCAAAAACTGCAACTACTGACAACAACATCGCTGAAGTTCACCAAATGGTGCTAGACGCCGAATTAAAGTGAGAGAGACAGCAGAAGCTCTGAAAATGTCCAAAAAACAAGTTTCTCATATACTAAATCAAGATTTCGGTATGAGAAAGCTGTCAGCGCGTTGGGTGCCGATTTGCACACGTTAGACCAAAAACATGTTCGAATGAATATTTCCAACGCTCTGTAGGCGCAGTTTAAGCGCAATAAATACGAGTTTTTATTCCGCCTAAACTGAGATTAATTACTGTAAATGAAACTAGGATACACCTTTATACGCCTAAAACAAAAATACAGTCAAAACAGTGGACTCCAAAGGGGGAACCGGCTCCAAAAAAAGCAAAAACTGGTTTTTCGGCTGGGAAAGTGATGGCGACTGATTTTTGGATTGTCATGGAGTTTTCTTAATCGATTATCTTCAAAAAGGAAAAACCGGCCAAGTGCGAGTTGGACTCGCGCACCGAGGGTTCCGAACAAATCCGTAGGTATATAAGTTTAAAATTATTAAAAATATTTTGATTATATGATGTAACCATAAATTTATGCTTTTCGCAATTTTTCCTTTATCTGTGCTATAAAGCGTTGCTTTGTACCAAATTTCAAGATTCTGAGTCCACGGGAAGTACCCTGTAGGTTTTGATTCCCTTGCGATTGTGGAAAGTTTGCGGCATAAACGGTTGTATCTTTTGATTGCGTTGGCTTAGAAGTTTGACTTTTTCACAGCTCCAAGGGACAGTAGACTCGAGTATTTGATATGAATTTCAGCTTCATACCTCTACGCGTTCCTGAGAAAAGGGGTCTTGACAGACAGGCAGATAGACGGACAACAAAGTAATCCTATAAGGGTTCCGTTTTTTCTTTTTGAGGTACGGAACCTTAAAAAACATTACAGGAGCATACTACGCATAATTACTTGACAAACTTAAGGCAGAAATTACGGTAAAACGGCCACATTTGCAAAAAAAGAAAATCCTGTGTTACCATGACAACGTGCCGTCTCATACCTCATCGGGTGCCATTGCGAAAATCCACGAATTACGGTTTGAACTGCTTGACCATCCGCCTTACTCACCAGATTTAGCCCCAAGTGACTTCTGTTTATTCCCTCACCTAAATATTGCACTCGGAGGACAGAGATTTTCGTCAAATGAGGAGGCAATCACCTTCAGGAACAATCATTTTGCAGAGAAAAACGGCGAGAACTATTTGGACGGGTTAGAGAGATGAGAGCATCGCTGGGAGAAGTGTGTGGAGTAACAAGGGGACTATGTAGAAAAATAAAAATAAATTTTAAGAAAAAAAATGTCTTGTATCTTTGTTAGGTCGGAAACTTTTCAGACCACGTATATCTCTCTTAATTTAATACTAATTTAACTACCAGTAAAACGAACGCCCTTTTTAAAAATAAATTTTACAATATATTTACAACATTTATTTTATAAACAGCTTGGAAGCGACCACCTCATTCCCAGAGCTTATCAACCATGTATTAATTTACATTTTAATAACCCTTTTTATACAGCTTTTGTTTAATTAAATATTTAAACTTGGTAATAGTATACCTACTTATATACATATAATATACTTCTCGAAATATGTATAAAATGTGTGTATTAAATAAATAGCTCTTTCTTTCTTTGTTTCTTCTAAGACTGGACTCACACATCCGGAATGCCTCTTCGAATTCAGAGGAATTCATAATTTGAATTCCGGCAAGCTGCCTGACACATATCTTAAAAATTCATCGTTTCGTGTATCTCGGTTCAGGCACACGTCTCGGATATGGAAGAGGAATTAATACTCATCGCACTACTTTTACCTTTAAAAAATAATGATCCGCGCTCTCGATTGCACTTCAAGCCTTAAACGGAACGCCTCAGAGCGACGTAACGCCGCATGAGTCATGTTTTTTCGTGCGTGCAGCCAGGTTCATCGAATTATAAGACGTTGTCACGTCAAAAAGTGGCATTTCTCTACCTGTTTTCATAGTCTTGATCTTCTTGTACATGAAGGGCTGCGTGAACATGGGCTCGTCCTCCTCGCTGTGGCCGAAGCGACGGTAGCACACGAGGTCGAGCACGACGTCTCGCTTGAAGCGGCAGCGGTAGGCGATGGCCACACGTGCCACGTGAGACACCGCCTCCGCGTCGTCGCCGTTCACATGCAGTACCGGTGCGTCCACACACTTCGCCACGTCTGCAACATTGAAGTAATAAGTAATAATAATAATAATATTTTATTTATTTATATATTTTACTATATCCTATTATATTACCTATATTTATCATTTTCTTTTATATATTTATGCAGCCCAACTAGATGAGAAAAATATATTTATACTCTAAAATATTAATAATAATAATCTGAATATGGCGATTTTTTGGCTCTTTGTACTAGAATAGACACAACCTAGTAGCCAGGATCCTATACCAGGCGTTCGACGTGAAATACGATCTCGTGGATCGAAAACTGCCTTATAATTATATAAGAAGCTGTGCTCGAAAATGACCTTGCCAGGTTCTACTGAGACCGGTCAACTATCACAGACAGGACTATTCTTTTTGGTAATAAGCCTGATATTGTACGATGAACCGGGCACTAGTCAAGAATATTTTTTGTCGACATTACAATTCCGTCAGACGAGAACATAGTGAAAGCCGAAACAGATAAGCAAACTAAATATCTACATTTGGCTCAAGAGGTGACCGACATGTGGGGGTGGTCTGCTAACCGAAATTATTCCTGTGGTCGTTTCTGCAAAGAGGCTAACCTCAGTCAGCCTCTCGGGTTATCTGAAGCGACTGGGTTCCGTGCTCCTCGATACTGTCCGCATCATCCGCCGGTTTCTTTCCTTTTTCCCCTAACCCTCGGCAGTTTCAGGCAGGCGTTTATCTGTTTCACCCTTCCCAGTAGGTCCGGATCGAGAGTCATCGTCAAGGGGGGCGACCAAGGCCAGAGTTTACCCAGCATCATTCTGTATGGGCGTCCCCAGGGATCTTCGTTGAGTGATCAGCACGTTCTTCCCAGAGGACAGGTCAAGTCCCTCAAGTCACCCGCCATCATCGTGGGAGTGGCAAGATGAGAAGGCGGTGACCGTGGCGGAGCTGGACCGAGCCGTTAGCCGCTTAAGAGCCCAAAACACTGCACCGGGACCAGACGTATCCCGGGTCGAACCCTAGTGTTGTCTGGTTGCCCTAGGGGACAGGCTTAGGCAGTTGTTTACCGACTGTCTGTGGAGTGCCAAGTTCCCCACAGCATGGAAAGAAGCAAGGTTAGTCCTCTTGAGGAAGGAAGCCAGGGCCGCCGATTCTCCCTCTGCGTACCGTCTCATATGCCTCTTGGAAGAAATAGCCAAATTGTTCGAAAGAATAGTTGGCACTCGGCCCAACGGGCATCTGTCGCGCGTTGGTCCCGATTTGGCTGATTGCAAGTTTGAATTCCGACGGGAGCGTTCTACAGTAGTTGCCATCATGCGCGTCCGCTCCCTGTCAGAACAAACAGTATATCAGGGTGGTGAGGCGTTGGCGATAAGTCTCAATATCGTCAACCCCTTTAACACAAGGTGCCCCCCCTACCTACAAGATGTTATCGGGGACTACTTGGGGCATAAATGGTAGAAAGATCCGGAAGGAGATCAGACGTAGGGTTCCACAAGGCTCGGTGCTTGGGCCGCTACTGTGGAACCTCGCCTATGATGCGGTTCTGTGAGTTGAACTTCTTGCTGGCGTACATATCGTTTGCTATGCTGACGACACGTTGGTTGTTGCCAGCGGGGTCAACTTCGAAAGGACCAAAGAGCTCGCCGCGCTTGGGGCGGAAGTTGTCTTCGCCCAAATCCACGAGTTGGGATTAGAAATAGTGCCTCACAAGACCGAGGCCCTATGGTTCCGTAAATTACGACGCGGCAAGGAACCATCCGATTTGTGCGTCCGTGTAGGTGAGCCTGAAGTCCGAGTGGGTCATGAAGTCAAACATACAGTCGATGGTGCTTTGAAGAACATTTCGAGATCCTTGTCGCCCGGATTGAAAGTTTAGCGGGTACTATGCATCGGCTGCTGTCCAATCTAGGGGGACCAAGGGACGACATGCGTCGCCTCTATACAGGAGTGATACGGTCCGTAGCCTTATAAGGGCTGTTTGGGCGAAAAGGCTGGTCATCTGATTCTGTAGAGCTAAAATCTACAAGGAACAGCGGAGGATGGCCATACGGATCGTGCGAGGATACCACACGATATTCTTTGAGGCGGCGGCAGTACTGGTTCGCTTTCCACCTCTGGACATACTGGCGGACATGGATGCGAGGGTGTATGACCGGACACGCGTCCTTCGCCAGAGCGTCGGAAATGAGCCAGATGAGGTGTTCGAAGGAGTTAAGTGGCAGGAACGACTTAACGCTTTCGCAACGTGGTGCGCTCGTCTCTCTTAAGAGCGTTATGCGCGCAAACGCGTTGTTAAAGCAATCTTGCTGCACTTTGAAGCCTGGATGCATCGAAGAACAGGAAGACTCACCTACAGATTTACATAGATAATGACCGGGCACGGGTGCTTCGGTGATTATTTGTGTAAGATCGGACGCGAAGTGACGGCGTACTGTTTCCACTGCGGTGGGCAGGAACAGGATTCCGCATCCCATACGTGGGCAATATGCCCAGCGTGGGAACGGGAGCGAACGATTCTGGTAAGCCTCTCCCTGCCGGCAGTCGTATCGGCGATGCTGAGCAGGGACTACGCGTGGAGGGTCGTAGCCACCTTCTGTGCATCCGTTAAGGTCCAGAAGTAGTTTGCTGAGCAGTGTCGGGAGAGGACAGAACCCCCTCGAACACGACGTCGCCGAGGCGTTCGTCACGGCCCTCTCCTTGATGATGGTTTTCCTCTGGGGTTCTCAGGGGTTACTGGCACTCGGAGCGGGGGCCCCTACGCCCTGCCCAGGATGTTCTGGTGGAGTTTTATTTATTTATGTTACGATATTAAATGTATATTTAGGCATATTAAGCATTTTCTTTTATTATTTTTTCAACCCAGCCAAACGAGAACACTCAATAAATACCCAACAATAATAATAATAATATGTCCTTCAGTCTCTATGGAGACTAGCCATAGTAGGATATAGTGCCCGAGTGTATGCGCAAGCACAGTCGTTTATTACAGTTATTTCATTATAATCTTATGTAATACATTTTTAAAACAAATTATTTATGTTATGTTATGTTAATTGAAAATATACGAAACCAGTGCAGTAGGGTGAGCTCCTCGCGAACCTCGGGTCGGTGGTGTACCCGATCTGGTTGTTGCAGATGATGTGTATGGCGCCGTGCGTGGTGAAATTGGGCAGCTGCCCGATGTGCACCGTCTCGTACACCACGCCCTGTCCCGCGAACGCCGCGTCGCCGTGTATTATAATCGCCATCACCTGCGTTCGACAGCAGTAAAATAAGAGTAAAGTTATGACCCTATATACGTGGTGAAGCCATGTTGCAACTATGTTATGGTTGTAGCACGAATGGGTAGGCTCGACCGGGGAAGGACAACGCTCATTATATTCCGGACCGATACGACTTAGGAACCTTCAAGAGAAGAGCCTACTCCTTTTTGCAGGCAATGCATCTACAATTCTCCTGGTGTTGCGGTTGTTCATGGGCGGCGATAGTCACCTACCATCAGGTGAGCCGCATGCTCGTTTGCCCTCTCCTATAAAAAAAATCACACAGAATACAAGCGTAAAATAGCAGTTTAATGCTGCTGTTTCGTATGGTGAGTATAGAGACCCGGAGAACTTTTTAACCACGATTTCCACGTCGCAATGCTGGAACAAGTAGCGGTCTTCGAGCAAGAAGACAAGCTTCATGCAACCTCCCTAGCACGGTTTGGTCGCTTACCAGCAGCTGGTGGTGCTCCTGGAGCCTTTGTAGTAGTTGTATCGCTGTAATATTGGGTTATCTTCTGGCGGTCATTTGGGGAAATCGATCCTGTCTCTGTGTAGTAATATCTACCCGTGTGCCGTTCAGCCACATCCCCACTACTGCGATAACGTAACCACAATCTTGATATCACGTTTTGGCTGGTATTTAGGGCCTCAGCAAAGTCGCGTTGATATAGCACCATCTTCTAACATGGCCACGGCTTGAAACATTTCATCTCGACTCAAATGACGACGTGACCTGACTCTTAAAGCTCACACGGCACGTTAAATTAAAAAAGAAAAACAATCTAATCCCTTTTCATTAATTAATATCAGTAGAACAATTTTAATTTTCCTTGACCTAACGAATTACTAACAATTTTGCTGCCATATTTTGTTTTTTTTTATTAAAAATTTAATTTTTCAGTCAAGCGTGGTAACTATGGCAAACCTCCTTCTTATGAGGCAATCTTTGGGAAGGCCTATATTCATCATTGAAATTCATCTATGAAAAATCTACAGATGTGACCAAGTACCTTATCACCGTTCTTGTCGCCGGTCCAGTATTGCTCGGCCCGGGCTTTGCCCGCCACGACTGGTGTGACCACCTCCAAATGCGAGGGATTGCAGCTCATGGACACCTTGATGTATCTGTTGGTGCGTCGGATGAAGCGGTGGATATACGTGCCCAGGTGGTACTTGATGTCACCCGACCCCTGTGACAAACATCACAAGGCAAATTAGCATAGTCGTCAACATTTAGTTTAGCTTATTTCATTTTTGGTGACTATACTAATGATATAGAGTAATGAGAGCATCCATGTGTCATCAGGGCGGCGCCTCTTAGAAATGAGGTGAAATATTTGACAGATTTCATAGCAAGGGAACTTAGTTTGTTAGAAAACTGTAGAGATTAATAATAAGAAAATAATAATTTTATACGCGGTAGAGCCATGCTGCAGTTATATTAGTAGTATAGTTGTAGCACAAATGGGTCGGTTTGACCGGGGAAGGACCACGCTCTCCATAGAATACCAGCGTTAAACGGCAGCTTAACACTGCTGCGTTTCGTATGGTGAGTGTAGAGAACCGGACACCCTATTTACTGGAAAAGAGGCATTCCATCTCAGTCCTCACGGGTGACAACGCATCTGCATTTTGATTCGCAAACGAGGATAGACGTAGATGTCTATAGGCCACAGCAACCACTTACCATCACGTGGACTGTGTGCTCGTTTTTCACACTATCCTATAAAAAAAACCAGACACGGATATTCTTAAAAGTAGAATTTAAAGTTAAAAATATGAAAAAAAGAAATAAAAAATACAGCATTGATGCATTGTTTTGTGTATATATTTTCATACACTAGAAATGGAAAAACTTTAAATTAAATAGACACACACACACACAGACAGAGACAGACACACGTGCGTGCACACACGCACACCACATTATTAACACTTATTACACCTGCTTACCCTTACTAGTACTTAAAGCATGTTTTTCTTCTTTGTATATATACCTAGCAAGTAATTTTTACACAGTTTCTCCAAACTGAACAAGTATATTTTAATGTAATATTATTACACGTAGCTGTATTGATTATAAATGTTTTACAGCATTATAACTTCTGTTGAGGGAGGGGCCTGGTGATCCCATAGCACAGGGCAACCTAGTTTGGGCACCAGTCTCCCACCTAGATCTTATTTAGTTAATTTTTATAGCTGTTATTTAGTTGTATAGTTCATTGTTACTAAGTTTTTTGTGATGTACTGATTGTAATATGTGGGAGAAAATAAATACCAGTTATTATTATTATTATTATTATTATATTATTAATAGGAATTTTTCAATTATAATGACAATGTGTGACCATCTGCGTAACAAAGTTCACCCTAGTCCAAACTAGAGACATCTGGTGAGCGTAAGATTATTAGCTCTGATTAAAGCTGAATAAAAATATAAAAGTATTGAACTAATCCGTTTTAGAACCTTTAATGCATAGCTAAAGCAAAGTCTAAAACATTTATTAGAAAGTAGAACACCTTTTCTGCCTAGGGGTCTATCTAGTTAGGTACCACCCTCTTACCTACCACTGCCATTTGGCGGCAATGCGTAAACTACTGTGTTCCGGTCTGATGGATATACAATGCCAGTATAATGAGGGCTAAAGTGTTTTGGCGGGAACTTGATCGGCGGCGGCTTGCTGCTCCTGTATTATTGTTTAAATAATGGTTTGAAGTGGACTTTGATATGTAAAAGTTTTGCGATTTTGTGTATTAAGCGTCTGCGCATGTGGACTTTTAGTGGAAACTGTGAAACAAGTGCTCTGATGGTGATGGATTCTCCAGATAAGCTGTTTGTTTGCACAGGCGCCTTTAGATACCATCGCCAACTGTCAGCTGCCTGCTGGCTCAAGTTGCCGTCAAAATCTCCCAAGGGCTGCACAATGTGACGCATCAACATTTTTTTTTATAGGAGAGGGGGCAAACGAGCATGCGGCTCACCTGATGGTAAGTGACTACCGCCGCCCATGAACAACCGCAACACTAGGGGAATTGCAGATGCGTTGCCGGCCTTTTAAAAAGGAGTAGGCTCTTTTCTTGAAGGTCCCTAAGTCGTAACGGTCCAGAAAAATTGCTGGTGGTAAACTATTCCACAAGGAAGTTGTGCGAGGAAGAAAACATCTTCTAAATCGCACAGTGGTGGACCGCCAATCATCCAGATGGTGTGGATGGTATCGGGAGTTCTGCCGCGATGTGCGTTCGTGAAATTTGGCGGCTGGGATTAATCCGAACAATTTCTCAGAGCACTCCCCATGGTAAATGCGAAAGAAAATGCTAAGAGATGCAACATCTCTTCGCAGTGCCAATGAGTCGAGCCGATCGGAAAGGACTCGGTCGTCGACGATTCGAGCCGCTCTGCGCTGGATGCGGTCAAGTGGAAGAAGCTGGCACTGGGGAGCCCCAGCCCAGAGATGGGAACAGTATTCCATGTGAGGCCGAACCTGCGCCTTGTAAAGTTGTAGAGAGTTTACATATTGTGAAGCAGTGAACTATGAAGGATAATTATACATGAAGACAAAGCTGTATGGCATAGTTCCTTTGCCTGCTCTATCGAGCGAATAATAAAAACAACAACAACAATGAGGGCTAATAAGTTTTTGCTCACCAGATGTCGCTAGTTGACACTGAGGTAAAGTTTTTTGTTACACAATGTCATTTAATTGAGAAGTTAGTTTCAAATAAAAGTTTATCAGTTTCTAGTGTGTTATATTGATACACAAAACAATGTCTCGTGCCTGGTTTGCTCTAAAATTTTATGCACATTTCAAACATTGTTTTAATTTTTCTAATTTTATGAATATTTGCGATTTGGTTTATTTATTTTTAATATTATTAATCTATACAAATAAATAAAATTGAAGTGTCTGTTTGTAATGTCAAAATTACAGCTTTTTACTAATTGCATATGAAAGTATATACGGTACTTGTAACAAAAACACAATTTTTAAAATTTTTGTCTGTCTGTCTGTCTGTCTGTTTGTTCCGGCTAATCTTCGAAATGGCTTGACCGATTTTGACGGGACTTTCACTAGTAGATAGCTGATTTCATAAGGAGTAACTTAGCTTACTTTTATTTTAGAAAAAGAATTAGGGTTCCGCGCAAAAACATAAAAACCCTAACACGCGAGCGAATTCGCGGGGAATAGGTAGTATAAAATATAATTAATAGTACAGAAAGAAAAATCAATCTTTACAGTTTCCGAACATTTTTTCCCGCTATGAAATCTGTCAAATATTATACCTCACTTTTAAGTGGCGCCGCCCTGGTGGCAGAAAAAGTCGTTGATGCCCTCATTACATCTTGTGTATGCTGTGGGTCATTCCACCTTGGTCGTCAGTGTTAATGATATTTTATTTCATGATGAGATTTTATTTCAGTTGTTTACAGTCACTATTAATAAATAGCTTTTCGTATGGATAAGGACTTAAAAAAAAGGACAGTGCAAGCAGACAGACGAAAAGTTAAGGATTGTTTAATGTGAAAATTATAATATCAACCAAATTTAGTATAGTGCTAGTTACTAGTAGTTAGAACAGAAAAAAAAATTAAGACTAGAAACAGACGTTTGTATGATATGATTTTGTTGACGTTACCAATATTCCTCATCCTCTCAGGAATGAGAAACCTGTGCTCGGCTATGGGACGTATTTAGGCTGTAACTTTAATATTTTTTATCAACATACCGGCTCTTTGGGCTCCATGGGTCTGAATTGAGCAAAAATATCAGTGAGCTGCTTACGGCACACGTTGACTAACACGTTCAGACGACCTGAACCAAACAAAATAGCATTAAAGGCAATTGGTTTTCATATTTTTTTTTAAATCAATCAATTTATATACTCTTTATTGCACACTAATACACATTTAAACAAAACACAATGAAATGTAAAATACGGTACAATTTGCGATGACTAGATCCGGCTTGAAGGACTAAACAAATGATTCCGAGTTCAGGCCATCAGAAATAATAATAATAGATAAAATAGGTGATCTTTTCCCTCTGGAGGCAATTTAAGTCAATATAGATTTTTTTTTAAATTCTTATTGAAAGTCATTTTTTATTCGTGGTAGAGCCTTGCTGCAGCTATATTATTAGTATAGTTGTAGCCCAAATGGGTCGGCACAACCGGGGAAGGACCACGCTCTCACAGAATACCAGTGTAAAATAGCAGCTTAATGCTGCTGTGTTTCGTATGGTGAGTGTAGAGAACCGGAGACTCTTTTTACTGGAAAAGAGGCAATCTATCTTATTCCTCCCGGCTGACAACGCATATACATTTTAATTCGCAAACGAAGATAGATGTAGACGTATATGGGCCACAGCAACCACTTACCATCAGGTGGACTGTATGCTAGTTTGTCACCTTTAATCTATAAGAAAAAAAATGTTTTTCTATTACCACTTTACACACACTTTTAAAAATACTATACAATGAAACACAAGTTGTATAAACTATTTAAGAAACTTATTTAAGTAACAGCTTGGAAGCAATCACTTCATTCAATCAGAGAATCCTTCACACCGTTTCCTTCCATGGATATCGTAAGAGGTGTTTTAGCTATGGTAGAGACACGCTGCAGCTTATATTATGGCTGCAGCATGAATAGGTCAGTTTGACTGGAGAAGGACCACTCACTTCCAGAATACCATCATAAAATAGGAACACATTGCTGCTGTGTTTCGTCTTTTTGTGCAGTATGGTGAATTATAAAATCGGAGGTCTTTTAACAAGAACGAGGCATTCCATCTTAGTCCTCAGAGACGCCAACGCATTTACATTGGTCCTTAATCGAGAATAAATGTAAGTGTTCATGGGTTACAAAAAAAATCCCTTTTTTATTGTCTCGCATCGAAAAATTATTTTTTTGCATTAAATATCACCTACTAAGAGTTGCTCTTTGTTTTGACTGGACACTAGAAAGAATGTTCTTCTGACAAAATGGGTATGGAGACGCGTGCTTTATGACAGTCTTCTTGGGGGCTTTATGCTCAGAAATGGACATGTGTCATCGGTGAATATAGATAAGCGTTAAGAAATATCAACAGCAATGTAAAACCTCTATGTGGCATGGCCATCACGATGGACTCGACGCCGAGCTCGGTGCTGGTATCCACGATCTCCTCCAGCATCACGATCATGCTCTCGCCGCCCTCCAAACCGAATCGCTTCTCTGCAGGCCACTTGGTCGCAAAATATTTCTCAAGGCTGTAAAATTATGTAGGTTTATCTTCGGAGCCTCGTTATCAGCCCACAAACAGTCCATCGCTGGGCAATTTTAAGTCAGCACAAAAATAAAACAAATTGGAACAACAAAAAGGAAAAGATGCGGTACTTAGCCGCAAAAAGTATTCGAGAACTCTTTTCACGTACATTAATACTAGGAAGAAATGTTAGAGGAGTTTTAAAATATTAAAAAAAACTAAGATTGCTATATTTTTCTACTTACAAGACGGCTTTCGTTAGTCTGCGCATGATAAGTTTTTTCTCTTCCTGTGTCTTGTCCATGGCGCCTGGCGTCTCCATTCGCTCTCGGATGAATTGGAGGCAGTCCAGGTCGTGCAAGTGCATGTACTCTACTCCGATGGGACCGCAGTAAACTTTCTCTAATCGGCTTATGATTTCCCTGTGTAAAATATAAATAAAAACTTACTTATAAGCAGTTGAATACAAGTCTGAAACAACAGTGCATCAAGTATGCGCAAACCCAGAGATACACTTTCGTCCTAGCCTACCCGTGCCCGAAGTAAGCAATTGTGTGATAAAATTTAGTGGCAGGGGCGCTACGACTACTAGCTAGGTTGAAGGTGAATGAAGAGGAATCCACATGGCAAGCCTGAGCTACAGTGCCGTCTGGAGGTAACTGCTCCGAGAGAGCTTGGCGAGCTGTGAAGCAAGGCGCGTTTTGTGTTACGGCGCATCTTACCTGAGTTGGAGAATAGAGGGAGGAGCTGTCCTTTTCCGAGAAGGGACTGCCAATACGGTATTGTAGCCTTGATAATAAGCAACGAAGGTACTGAAGACAAATTTTCCTATAAAAATATTTTTTTTTTTATATAGAATAATGTGACAAACGAGCGCACTGTCAATCTGATGGAAGGTAAGGTGTGGCCCAAGACATCTACATTTATCGTCGGTTAAGAATCAAAATACAGATGCGTTGTCAGTTGTCACCCCTGAGGGCTAAGATGGAATGCCTCGCTTTCAGTAAAAAGGATTTCCGGTTCACTACACTCACCATACGAAACACAACAGCATTAAGCTGCTATTTTTCGCTGGTGGTGTCTTGTTAATCCAACCATCACTAGTTTATGCAGTCGAATCGACAATATGCGATGTTATTGTGATAAATAATCGTGAAAATTACACCTCGATTAGACATGTTGTATATAATCAAAAATATTGCTATATCTTGTTCTTTAAGAAAACCATTATGCCGGGTTTACACGCTTGCCAAGTCTTGGTAAGCATCCACAAGTACGAGCGTATAAAGAGGGCGTTTGGCTTGGCTTGCGTGAGCTTGTGCTTGTGGACGCTTGTCCCCGATCCGGTCTAGTGTCGGGTTTTGGAAACAGATCAAAGGGCGCTTGCGGCAAGCGTTTGCAACGCATTCACACGTTGGTGCGCGTTTAGAAGAAATTGTGATTTCGCGACGAGCGCATGTTTAGTTATTTGTTTAAAATGAGTGACTGGTCGAACGAAGAGAGTTTATCGTTTCTGGAATATTACCAGACCGAATCGTCTATCTGGAACCCCAAAGACGTTAATCATAAAAATTAAAATAAAGTTGCAGATGCTTGGAGTCGTCTTGCCGAGTTAACGGGAAAGCCAGTAAAAGAATTAAAAGCCAAAAAGAATCCTTGTTTTTGTATTATTTGCTTGTATTCAAATAAAAGTATGTTAAACCAAACGCAATAGCCGACACAAGTTCGTAGTCCGCCATGCTTGGGTGTACGTAGCACACTGACGCATTCACAAGCATGAAAACGACTTCCAAACGTCAAACGAGATTTGTGGACGCTTGGGGCTTGAAGACGTTTGCCAAGGCTTAGCAAGCATGGAAAGGCACCATTATAAATATTAGGGTTTCATATTATGTACTCGTAAGTGTTACCGAACTGTGCTCAGACCAATAAAGAAAGAGACGGAGCTCTGCATACACTTCAAGTGACGCCAAAACCAAGCCAAAACCATACTCAACTTATTATAAGAACACATACTCACGCACACATGCACCTTAAATCATTTGCAACTAACAATTTCGTTTTAGATGCATTGTGTGTGTCTGTGACAAAAAAAGATGTGTGAGTGTCAAGAAGTCAAGCACGATTTCTGCGTCAATTTAAATGTACGTAGTAGCGTTTCGTCTGATTATCTACGATTTTCTGAGTACCCACGTTGGTTCGATCCCCGCAAGTAGCTGCATATACCATATAACCTTCCATCCATTACATCCTATAAAACTCCACTGCTGAACATAGGCCTCTCCATCATAGATTGCCTTCTCGTGGATTTTGCCACAGTTGCCACGCTTGGCAAGTGGGTTGGCAAACGCAGTTTTTTATCATTTTGAGTTATTAAGAGGAAGATGCTGCTGCCCATCTCCTGGTTAATTTTCTCTCCGTCGCCTCTTACAACATCCTGCGGACGATACGAGGTAGTGGATATTTTTACACCGCCACACCATTGTCCATGTACAATACCGTAAATTAATTACATGAAATAAATGTTACTTGAAATGTATGTAACATAAAATTTAATTTACTTTACATAAGCAAAACATGTGAATTTATTTTACTGTACCACCTACAAATACCATGTTTTAAGCAAATAAACAAATTATTATTTAATGATTTCTTATATTTACGCAAACACTACACATAAAATAAAACTACTTTTTTACGGATTTTATCGCGTTTAATTAACTTATTTTATATTCCCGACGTTTCGGTTGCTTACCAGCAACCATGGTCACGGGGGACTGAGGTGAATGACGTTCCGATGTCGGAGTTAACCCGGAGTACCTTCAGCTTTTTAATTATTAATTTTGGTCCGATCTACGCAGAATAAACTTACTGTGTCTTGAGGAGTGTACAAGCTTGATAGTGAGTGTGGTCTCTCATATATAGGGTAAACAAAACGATCAATATAAACCCGCGTAAAAGAACACATAGCTGACGTGAAGTACCAACGTTCTGGGAAGTCTGCAGTTTGTGATCATATACTAGATGGCCCCCGCTATTACAATAGATTTGATACCACAAATTCTCGCGAAAGAACATCGATTCCTCCCAAGGATGATACGTGAGGCGATTGAAATTAAAAAAAACATCCTAATTTCAATAGGGAGGCCAGCTGGGTACTACCACCTGCTTGGGATCCTATAATTTATAAAATTAAAACTAAACTCAAGCATTCCACTGCAAGACTTCAAGACACAGTAAGTTCATTCTGCGTAGCTCGGACCAAAATTAATAATTAAAAAGCTGAAGGTACTCCGGGTTAACTCTGACATCGGGACGTCAGTCACCTCAGTCCCCCGTAACCATGGTTGCTGGAAAGCAAGCGAAACGGCGGGAATCTATACATATAATAAAAATGTAAATAACAGATGTCTGTATATTTTAGATTTATATAATAAAAGTGATTGAGAGGTACTAAAAATAAGTAATTAAATACATTTCTACCATTTTTAGAATTTTCTGTCTGTCTGTCTGTTTGTTTGTTTGTTAACGTATCACGTATAAAGTACCAATTTATATCACAAGAATTGTTAAAGAAATTATAAAGTGTATCTTCAGGTTACATTTAGTCTTTATTTCATTAAAATTAGTTCATTACATCAAAAGTTATGATAAATATTCTGAAGTATAGCTACGAAGTATAGGTACGAATTTGTTCAATGGTGGCGTTCGTTGAGTCATCAAGTACATTTTAAACTAATATCATATTATAAAACATAATTAAATGATGTAAAATAATGTTTTATAATGATATAATTATACCTAAAACGCAGTAAACAAAAGTATTACATAAAGAACGTAATAAATATATACAAAAATATATTAACCTTAATCTAAATCTATAGTACAATAGTTAACCAATTTCATCGATAGATGGTGATATTGCATAAATGTGATACAAAAAGGCAGGTTAAGGTTTTTTCCTGTAGATGTGTATCACATTTGCTTCTAATCTTTGTATAACACGCTGCCCTACTGCGTGTCGACATGACAATCTCATTTATTTTTTACCGCCGAGTACTGTGGTAAATCAAATTTCAAAAGAGCTATTAACAATTTCGTTAATAGCTCTTTTAACGAAATTGTTAATAGCTGTTATTATATTATATTAATTAGGCATCAGTGCCTAATTAATATAATATAATATAACCCCGTTATAAGTTCTTTTATGTTTTTATTGAATCAATCGCGTCAATTAATCTCTTATTTTTAGAATTGATGTTTACAGCGCCATCTCTCTTTAAATCTATACATATAATAAAAATGGTGATAACAACATGTCTGTTACTGTACATTGTATAGTATATTAATTTGTGACTAAAATCATTATGGGGACTGAAAATCATTAAATAAGTACATTTTTAGAATTTTTAGAATTGTACTGTCTGACGGTCTGTCTGTTTGTTTATGAACGCATGAACAAACGTTTTGGGTAAACATATTATTTTCAATGAAATCCTTAAGAAAATCATATAGCGTATCATCAAGTTATTTAATCTTTGTTTTATTAAAATTGGTTAATTCTATCGAAAGTTATGATTATTATTTTGAAATGTAGGTTCGAATTTGTTTAATGGCGCCGTAAAATCTCAGAAATAGTAATAAAAAGATTCGTGTGTAAAAAAACGTTCTATTATAATATATTTATACTTAAAACAAAGTAAAAATAAATATGTTTTCCTTAAATTAAAAAAAGGATGTTTTCTCACAAAGAACGTAATAGATGGCGTTGTACAAATTGCAACCTTTTCTGAATTGCGGTGTTAAGATTTTTCGCCAGTGAATCGTGTTGAGACTCACTGAAGAAATTTATGTCTACGACTCCGATAAAGCTGTAAGAGCTGTGTAGGCTAACATCACAAACATCAACAGAAACAAAATCAGAAAGAAAAAATACTACGACGCCCAAGTTATGAAACAAGATATAAAAAAAAAAAGAAACAAAACCCGACTAAAAGTAGCAAAATTGCAATAAAATGTGGTGATATTGTTTTATACTCAGAATCCCTCTAATACAATTAACTTTCCTTTCAGTTTTAAGATTGGGATGATCGATGTTGCAGATGCAGAAACATCGATGATGACATAGATGTTGCAGAAACATCGATGTTGGCATCGATAGCTCAACATCGATGTTCGATGTTTAGCCTACTCAAAACATCGATGTGGACCATTATCGATGTTTTTTGTGTATCTGTAGATACTTACACATTGTTTCAAAATTATGTGGGTATACACAGCAAGAGAAAAGTAACAATTAACTTGGATATCAATTTACGTAGAATAGTTATTATGCAACAACCGACAACGACACTACAAAATAAAGCGAAAGCAGTGACCATTGTGACATTACAGGTGATACTTGACGATTAAATTTGACACACCATAAATGACATTTTTTTAGGTTAACGATGCGTTCAGGAATCCTGTATTCAACATTTTTAATCTTCAGAGCAGATGCAAGATTTATTTGATATTGATTTCGGGGGTTCGCATTGTTTGCAAGTTTCCAATTATCGATTATGGGTTCATTGACATCATTGTTGCCATGTTTGCCATGTGTCATGTTTAATTTTTTAGCATCGATGATCATCGAATTGCTGAGTGGGAAAGACGCTTAAAATAGGGATGTATTTTAAGAGTGTTTCCCACTCAGCGTGTGTTATGCGATTTACGCGTTGCAGGAGTAGACCTCAGTACTGATTGTTTTGCACATGGCCAACTATATATTGCTTTTTCCCGCGTTAGTAGTCCCCGTAACCTTTTTCTGTACTTCCCGGCTAAGTCTAAGATAAACGACTTAGAACTTCGAGAACTTAGACTTTATTTTGTTACCACTTATTGATACAGTAATGATATAAATCGTTTAATATTCTCTTACCTAAACGTCAAATTCTTTAAGTAAAACCTATATACGCGAGCTACGCCGCGGGCACAGCTAGTATAAAATAAGTTAATTAAACGCGATAAAATCCGTAAGAAAGTAGTTTTATTCAAATTATTATTATTGTTATTATATTCTAATGCTTACACAATTACAGGTCCATATCTATATACTAAAGTAGAACATTGTTAATGTCTCAGAGGCTGCTTAGTAAAAAAAAATGTATTGTCCTCTTCTTCACCAGTACATACAGGCGAATTGCCGATCGCAGTATCACACGACTCATACTTTTGTCGCTGCTGCTTGCCGCAGGTTTGAGTATTTTATTTCTAGCTTAAACAAAATGGTTGTACCATTATCTATCGTAAGCAATTAGATTTTCCGACATTACCTACACGGTTTCCCCAAAAAATCCTGGATGTGTTCAAAGCAAAAATCATCATCAAGATTTATGATATATATACATTTTTGATGAAAAAGAAAAATGAAGATTTACCTTCTAGGGTTACATAACTATTTAACATCAAGAGAGATAGACTGAAGCATTGGCTTTTAGTCCAAAAAAAACTTACCTAAGGGTTAACTTTGTTTCAGTTCCACCGATATAGGCTCGATCAGGCAGCTCGAATTCCATGTCCATATGTTTATCACCTAAAAATAAAAAAAATATACTATCATGTATTCTGTGTGCGCTTGATAACGTCCAGCATAAACACTCTGTGATTACATAATTAGCCGGTGTCTCTAAAGGTGCGTACAGATTAACTAACACGTTATGTAACTTGTGTTTTATAACACGTCCACATTATATATATATATATATATATATATATATATATATATATATATATATATATATATATACAATATCGCAGGCTGAAGGTTCAGTATAATGATTCTTTCCGCGTGTTGTTCCGTCAGCCACGTTACTGTAACGCGTCTCAGATGTTCGCAGAGGCCCGTGTCGTTGGTTTGGATGCGTTGATCCGTCACCGTATCGCGCGATTTACAAGTTTTGTTTTTGGGTCGCAGAATAATCTCATCAAAATCATTTGTAATATGTATTAACCAATAATTATAATTAAAATTTAAGGTATAGTTTAAAAATTTTAATTTTAATTTTGTAATGGATCTGTGGTGTCTGTATCAAATAAATTATTATTATGGGGTATTTGTATAGTTTTCTCATCTGGTTGGGCTGTATAAATATATAATTGTAAATGAAAATGATAAACTTACATAAATATCAATAAAATAAAATAAATACATAAAAATTACATAAATATATAAAAACCCATCCAGATGGAAGCCCTCGGCAGGGGAGACCAAACGGCCGAGGGTTAGGGGGAAAGGGAAAGAAACCGGCGGACAATGCGGGCGGTATCGAGGAGCACCGCCTTCTGCATTTGAGCTTGGAGCGATCCGCCACGGAGTCCCAGTCGCCTCACATGACCCGAGAGGCTGACTGGGATTAACCCGTTCGCAGAGACGACCACAGGAATAATTTCAGCCGGCAGACCACCCCACATGTCGGTCACCTCGTGAGCCAGGTCCAGATATTTTGTCAACTTATCTGTTTCGGCTTTCACGAGGTTCTCGTCATAAGGAATGGTAATGTTGACCAAAAATATCCTTGACTGTGCCCGGTCCATCAGCACAATATCAGGCTTATTCGCAAGAATAGTCCTGTCCGTGAAGTTGGCCCGGTCCCAGTAGAGCCTGGCGCGGTCATTTTCGAGCACGGCTTCCGGCAAGTAATTATAATATGGCAGTTTCCGATCCACGAGACCGTATTTCAGAGCGAGCTCCTGGTGTAGAATCCTGGCTACTAGGTTGTGTCTGTGCAAATACTCAGAGTTAGAAAGCGCCGAACAACCGGAGATGACATGCCTAAGTGACTCACCCGGATGGCGACAAGCTCGACAGATGTCGACGGCGCCATCCTTTAGGATGTATTTCCGATAATTGTTGGTCTTAATAACCTGATTCTGTATCGCACAGACAAAACCCTCGGTTTCCCCAAAGAGGTCACCGAAACGTAGCCATTAGAGGGAGGCGACTGTGTTTATGAAAGGCTCATGTAGAGCCTTGTAGAACCTCCCGTGGAGCTCCTTCTCCTTCCATACGGTGTCCCGGTCGGAAATGCTCTGTACTGCCGGGTCTTGCCATTGCTCGTTGGCTAAGGATAGAGGGGTAAGTCCTTTATCACAAGAAATAACGTCCCTATAGTATGGATCATCCGCTCTCGTCAGAAAGTAATTACGGAGGCTGCACACTTCGCAATTATGCATGGTAAGCGCGCTTAAAAAGCCGCGCCCACCATGCTTCCGCGGCAAGTACAGCCTCATTACTGATGATCTCGGATGATGCATCCTGTGGGACGTCATTATAGTGCGGACTTTTCTGTCCAGAGCGTTCAGTTCGGTCTGAGTCCACCTGAGCATGCCAAAGGTATACATGAGAACAGGCATGATCCAACCGTTATATGCATGTGTCTTATTAACGCCCGACAAAAGACTGTTAAGCACTTTTGTCAAGCGTGCATAAAACACACCGCAAACTGACTGTTTCATGTCCGCCTCATCGATACCTATGTTCTGTGACATACCCAGGTATCGGTATGTTTCAGCCTCGGATAGGGTCTTATGTTGATGGGCATAGATAAGTCTATGCCCTCAGAGTTAGCAACCCTACCCCTTTCGACATGGAGGACCGCACACTTATCCGTCCCCAGCTCCATTCTAATAGAATTGCTAAAATCACAAGTGATGTTTAGCAATTCCATAAGATGAGAGCGACTGGAGGCGAATAACTTGAGATCATCCATATAGAAAAGGTGGGTCACTTTTGTACCTCCTCTCCGAAGCTGAAATCCCCTCCCGGAACCCTCCAGTAAGGTACTAAGAGGGTTCAGAGAGAGGCAGAACCAGATTGGACTCAGACAATCGCCCTGGAAGATACCCCTTCTTATCCTTATGTGATTCTCCGCAGGCGTCATCCGCTCGCCTAGATGACAAAGGATCGTACTCCACTGCCCCATACACTGCCCGAGGAAGTCTCGAACTGTACAGTCAACCTTGTACAGCTCGAGGACCCTCTTCAGCCATGTATGAGGCACCGAGTCGAATGCCTTTTTGTAGTCTATCCAGGCGGCGGAGAGGTTCCGACGGTTGCGTTTAACCACCTTGCCAATGACCGCGTCAATGAGGAGTGGTTCCTTGGTTCCACGACCGCCGCCCCGACATCCATTTTGAGCGCGCGACATCACCTGATAGTTCAGGTGACGAGTGATTCTCGCGCTCAAAATGGATGTTAGTGTCTTGTATATGGTAGGTAGACACGTTATGGGGCGGTATTTGCTCGGGTCTGTGGAATCTCGGTCTTTAGGAACCAAATGAGTGATCCCAGTAGTGAAGAGGCTCGGGAGCGACATTTGGTCGAGAGCCTCTTGAAACTGTCGGGCGAGAACAGCGTGACACACCACGAATCCCTTCAGCCAGTAGTGATGCAGTCCGTCGAGTCCCGGACTTTTCCAGTTCGGGGCCCTACGGACCGCCTCAGCTACGTCATCCGGCGTAATGATGACGGGGTCCATAGGCGTAACATTCGCACACTGACTCGCCACAACTTCCGTCCAAGGGCCCTCACTGTGGTTTGTGGGCTCTGACCACAGGCCGCGCCAGAATGCGATAGTGTCGGCCTGATTCGGTGCTGGGCCCGTTCCACTTACAATTGGTCGCTCCAATGATTCATAGAGCCTCTTCTGATCACTCTGGAAGAGACGATTCTGGTTGAACCGTGTCGACCTCTCGGTATATCGCCGAATCCGCTTCACCCAAGCAGCGATTCTCTGCTTCAGGTCGTCTATGCGCTCCGTCAGTTTTTGCGTTATATCCGGCTGGGACAAACTGATGTTTGTCCCAGCAAACGCCATCCTGACGGTGCGCACAATTCTCGGCCTATTATTGCCCGACTTGAAGCTTATCAGCCTGCCGATGAGGGCCCTTGCCTTTGCGATACGGTCCTCAATCCTTCTTCTCCAGGCTGGGATGGCGCTACTTTGTCTAGTAGTGCGTCCAGCCTTGGGAAGTTTGGCGCCAATAATACGGCAAACTGCCAGTGCGGCGCCAAAAAGAATTGAGTCCGTCTCGCAAAGGTCCCGGCTGGCTTCCAAATAGGTCACCAGCATTGGGTTGAGAGCCCTCACGACAGCCTGATTCCGCTTGCTTAGGGGTATACGGGGAAGTCGCGGTCTATTCTCGAGAGGCGTACTGCGCGTTTCCCTAATCGCCTCTTCCACTATGCTCCTCATTTGTTCTTGTTCTGGGGCGACTATTCCATCGTCGCCTGAGTCAACTACAAGGAGCCGCATCTACATGTGCGGGTTGCTCTGCAACTCGTAGAGCCGCATCTCCTGTCGTAACATTTTCATTCGACAAAGGAATAGCCTCACGTCGTAGCCGTTCGAGTTCGGCGTCATCAAATATTTTTGAGCGCATGATGTACCGAACTCGGTCTGCCAGGTTTAGCTCGGTACCTATAATAGATGGCAAATAGTCGATGCATCCTAGCCCGATACCCAAAACCTCCAATTTCTCTCCCTTTCGCCCCAAAATACGCCCGCAATGCATTTTTGTTCATTTGCATTGACCAACGCATGCGGCGTACTCCACCAGTGGCGGGTGCTGATTGCTGGGCCAACGAAGACCCTGCCAACACCAAGCCAGCTGGTGGGGATGATGGATGCGAGGGGCTGCTGGGTGGTCGTGCAGCACCTCGCGGTCGACTGGCGGTTCGCATGCTGCCGCGTCCAGCACCAGCTCCAGACGCGCCCTGGCGACCTCCAGGCTGCGGCCCTTAGCGCGTATTCCTAAATTTCATCATCCATGAATTGGGCGTCAGTTAACGGGAGACGCCCAGACCCGGCACTATTTCATGGTGAGGCCATGTGCACAATCGGGCCTTTGCACCTCCAATTTTGCCGAGGCACGGCGCTAACACCTCTTGGCAAGGTGCTAACTGACTGCGCTGACGTAGCAGTTTTGTCACATAACCGTTACGTCAGCGGGCGATGGGGTCGTCACTTCCCTACGCCATATTATTATTATTATTATTTTGGGGTATCTATAAAGTTTTCTCATCTGGTTGGGCAGTATAAATATATAATTGTAAATGAAAATGGTAAACATACATAAATATGAATAAAGTAAAATAAATACATAAAAAATACATAAATATATAAAAACCCAACCAGATGGAAGCCCTCGGCAGGGGAGACCAGACGGCCGAGGGTTAGGGGGAATGGGAAAGAAACCGGCGGACGATGCGGGCGGTATCGAGGAGCACCGTCTTCTGCATTTGAGCCTGGAGCGGTCCGTCACGGAGTCCCAGTCGCCTCAGATGACCCGGGAGGCTGACTGGGATTAACCCGTTCGCAGAAACGACCACAGGAATAATTTCGGCCGGCAGACCACCCCATATGCCGGTAACCTCGTGAGCCAGGTCCAGATATTTTGTCACCTTATCTGTTTCGGCTTTCACGAGGTTCTCGTTATAAGGAATGGTAATGTCGACCAAAAAGATCCTTGACTGTGCCCGGTCCACCAGCACAATATCAGGCTTATTCGCAAGAATAGTCTT